CCTTCCCCTCCCCCTCTCCCTCTCTCCCCCTTTTTTCTTTCTCCCTCTCTCTGAAACCAATAAAGACATACTTAAAAAAAGAAAAAAAGAGAGTAGCAATTTAACATATTAAGCTGAGTATTTCCTATATATATATATATATATATATATATACACACACACACAGTTGACTCTTGAACAGTGAGGTTTAGGGCTGTTCACCCCCATGCAGTCAAAAATCCTGTATAAGTTTTGACACCCCCCAAAACTTGACTATCCTTGGTATCTCTGGCAGATTGGTTTCAGGACCCCTTGCAGATACTAAAATCCTCAGATGTTCAAGTTCCCAATATAAAATAGTGTAGATCAGTGCATGCAGTCAGCCCTCTGCATCTGCAGACTCCCAACCACAGATTGAAAACAATTACAGATACTTATTGAAAACAATCTGCATGTAGGTGGACCTGTGCAGTTCAAACCCATGTTGTTCAAGGGTCAGCTATATTGTTATTAAATCTTGGGTTGACCAGCAATATTTGCAATAAAAAAAGATACCCATTCTATTGATCCTTTGTTTTTTCCAATAATGTTTAATTTGCCTAACTTTGCAATAGATTTGAAGAACAGGCCCAGCCAGTGTGGCTCAGTGATTGAGCTTCGACCCATGAACCTGGAAGTCACAGTTCGATTCCCAGTTAGGACACATGCCCAGGTTTCAGGCTCGATCCCCAGTAGGGGGTATGTAAGAGGCAGCCGATTGATGATTCTCTCTCATCACTAATGTTTCTATCTGCCCCTCTCCCTTCTCTCTGAAATCAATAAAAATATATTTATTTTAATTTATCTTATTGTTGAAATTATTATAGATGTCCCCTTTACCTCATTGACCCCCTCCACCTCACCTTCACCTCATCCCCAGGCCTTCCCCATACTATTGTCTGTGTCTGTGGGTTATGCATTTATGCGTGTAAGTTCTTTGATTAATCTCTCCCCACCCACTCCCCCACCCTCACCTTTCCTCTGAGGTCCCTCAGTCTGTCCCACGTTTCTATGTCTCTGGATCAGTTTTGTTCATCAGTTTATTTTGTTCATTATATTCTACATATGAATGAGATCATGTGATATTTGTCTTTCTCTGACTGGCTTATTTCACTTAGCATAATACTCTCCAGTTCCCTTTATGCTGTCCCAAAGGGTAAGAGATCTTTCTTTTTTACAGCTGCATAGTGTTCCATGGTGTGAATGTCCCAGAGTTTTTTTATCCACTCATCTACTGATGGGCACTTAGGCTGTTTCCAGATCTTAGCTATTGTAAATTGGCTGCCATGAACATAGGGGTCCATATTTTAAAAAAACAAAACAAAAAACCTTGCTCCAAGCAGAAAGATTCACTCTGTGTTACAAAAGATGCTCTTTTTAGGAAGAGGTTATGATCTAAAATATTTTAAAATGGATGTCTGTGGGGAACTCAAAGTAACGGTCTGTGCTCTTGAAGTATTGTGCGTAAGATAAAAACTAAATTGCCGTATAAACAGATTATATTGAGTTTTAAACTATTCACAATGTGAGTCCTGAAGATGGCAGAGCAAAGGAAGTCTCTGTGGCCATGACCAGGCTGGGAAAGAGCTCTTAAGGTGGAGTATTATGAGAGAAGGAGAGCAGTGTGCTTGTTCTTTCACCATCTTTGGTAAGGAGTTAACCACAATTTTTATCTACTCTTTACAGCCAGAAGAGTTGAGAGAAATCATTGAGAAAACTAGAGAGATGGAGCAGAACAATGGTCACTACTTTGACACGGCAATTGTGAATTCAGATCTTGATAAAGCCTATCAGGAATTGCTTAGGTTAATTAACAAACTTGATACTGAACCTCAGTGGGTGCCGTCCACTTGGCTGAGGTGAAGGAAACATCCATCTGTGGCATGATTGGACTTGATCTGGCACGCTGCCAGCGCGAAGGTAAACCGGATCCTTCAGCAAGACTCTGAGGGTAAGGTGGCTGGCAACGTAGACCTTGTTCTTAGATCTCAAACTAGCAAGAAGAAAATCCCCGTAGGTAATTTGTGCACAGCAGTCTTTATTCCCTGTGGCTTTAGGTTCTTGCCTCATTTGGGGATTCTAAATGGAAGCTTTCAACGGAGCAGTTCCATTTTATCCATGTAAAAACCTGTTTTCACCTAACTAAATCTTTCCTGCCTAGTCATATCTCCATGAAAAACGTGTGTGTGTATACACAGCAGTCCATGTCTCACATAGTTATAAATACTGATGTTATTTTAACAGTTAACTTAAATGACTTAATGGGAATTGGTGGGGGAGGGGAGGGACTCTGTTTCTGTGTACTGGGCAAAACTTTATTTGGTAAGAAAACTGGTTTAGTCATCAAAAATACTTAAAGTTTTTTTATGTGCTGAAAGTATATACACAACAGATTTCAAAAACTACATTAAATTATGGTGATTAAAAAATATTTTTTAAGGTGCCACTTTGGTCTGGGGCTAGGCTTGAATTCAAGGTAGGCTTGAATTCATTTGTATGTCTTTTAATCCTTGAAAAACATTCCGTTAGAAGCACCAGTTTTAGCTCAAACTTTGTGGATCGGACTTTACTGTACACACAGCAGACTCTGATATAGTTAAGCGCGTACAACATGCTGATCTTTTCAAATATGTGATTTTCTGAATTTTCCTTAAATTGTCACAATTGATTTGGTAACCTTGCTTCCTTTCTCTGATTTGCATAGGACAACAGAATGTGTAAGTTATATTTTTATGAGTGGCAGATGTTCATATAAACTATGTTGACAAAGTTTCTCATGATTCAGTTTTTTATATACATGAGAGGACATAGCACCTTTGACAGTGTCTGCATTTTTATAGAAGAGCACAGTAATTTGATGACTGTGCTATATAGAGGTAATAAACTGGAATTCTGTGATGAATATAGCTGCTGTACTGTATACTAATATTTAATAGGTTGACAAATGGTCATGGGTAACACTCAGATTGGACTAAAATTACATCTATCTGAAGGAAATACTATGACATTTGACTTTGAGATCAGAAGGAAAGGATGACCTGAAAGTCATTTGAACATTTTAGGAAAAAAACATGGGTGGGGGTAAAGAGGTTTTTATCCTAACAAGGTCTGCCTCTTATGATCATAATGCAACAGCTTGCTAAACCATAAATGTTTTAAGCTAATGGGATTTTCACCCTGGCATGAAAAGTTGATTTGTAGTCTTTTCAAGCCCTTAGGGATGGTGTGATGTGTGACAAACAACCTCAAATGTGAATGTGTTTTATTTTTGTGATAACTTTAGATACAGCATTTCCTGTTCTCAAAGCTAAACACTGGAATAATATTGAATTGTCACTTAATTTAATGTAAGCAGTTGTTTTTAATTAGTAGTTTGTCTCAGTGTCATGTGTATATTTGATTTTTTTATCATCTACATAATTTTATTTGAACAAATGTAGACAGTTTATATGTTGCCCTTTCTGTTCAAATTTGCATGGCCTTAAAGTTGGCTGCGGAGTGTGTCTTATGTGGAAATACTTTCAAGATGATGTTCATTAGGAAGAAAGTGACATCCTAGGTTAAGGGAAGGAATGCCATCCATACTCTTTTCAGGTCTGAAACACTCCAAGTTTACAGCAGGAAATGCAAAGCTTACTGATTTTCAGCATTGGAAGACAAGGAATATAAGCACTTCATCTTCTCAGTCTTGCAGTTTACTTTCTCCTGGGGAATGAAAGGTAGTCTATGGTAGGCAGTGGAGTTTTGTGAGCTGCTTATCATAACTGACAACTGTTTTCAACCCTAAGATCTAAAATGTTGGCAGTTTGAATTGTTAGAATGAGATTTCAGGTAGTGTCAGTGGCTGTTGTATCATTCCCTGAGTTAGCCTGCAGACCGTACATCCACACTAAGCCACGTGCTATCAAGACTCAGATAATGGCTTTAACAAGCAAATCCCCTACCAAGGCGTGTGCCGAGCATAACGTACTTTAGGAAGCCTAAGAGGTATTTGGGGAGTCAGTGAAGTCTTACAGTTCTTTTCTCATCAGAAATGGTAGAGGGATAGAAATGCTTGTCCCAGTGATACGGATGTGCCGATATTCAACACAGTCCCTAAACAAAGTGAACACTGAGGTGTTGCTAACTTCCTTGAAAGAAAATGGAAAAACCCTTGCTGTACACCTGGCCGCTATGGCCAGTTCCATTTCCTGTCCCTCTGTGGTTCTGATTGGAGACCCCAGAGAGGGGGAAGTCTTAACCACTTATAGGAATGATACCGGTAGCTAAAAATACGCACGTTCAAATAAGGAAATATCTTTTTTAAAGAAATCTTAAGTTAGAACAGATGAAAAGGAGAACAGTATTTAGACTAATCCAGATTTGCTATGAAAATCTAATGTCTGGATTTTTTTCCCTTTTCTGATGGCCTAAGGAATAAGTATTGATAAGGAATAATTTGAATGTAATTTTGTGAATGTGTGTGCAAAATAAGAACCAGGGAGCTAGCCTTAATAAGGTAACCTTTGTGACATTTTTAATCCTTTGTACTCTTATCCTGTATCTGCACTCTTATTTTGTGATGTCATACTGCACACTGTATTGTAAAAATAAAAAGTAAAATTATATTTCAAATAAAAAAAGCCACCGAGTACTTTCTCTTGCTGTATTTATACCTCTGCCGTAAGGTTTCAGCATCTCTAACAACCGTCCCGTCTTCAAGTTTGTGGGATGAAGTCAGTCCGTTGGGTCCTCTAGGTGAAACACAGATAGCTTTCAACTTATTCTTCACCAGAGGGAAGATCCCTATTGGCACAGACACAGGTTCTGTTGCCTTAATTTCATTTTTAAAAAAGGAACAACGCATCTTTAATCATTTTACTGTTTATACCATAGTCACATTCAGATTGGCAAAACTGTTCGATAACAGACAGAACAAAGACCTGTCATGCAAAATAAAATAAGTGAAGGCTTCCTAAAGCTTGAGGAGAGAAGTGCACGGTTACACAAGGGTGGCTGCAGCGGTCTCACAACAGCGCCAAGGTGTGTAAGTGGGAGGAATGGAAGTTGCTCTGACAGCAGCTGGCCTGAGACCACTGCTGGCTCGAGGGGAATTTCCTAATATGCTTGGTGAGGTGACAAATGGAGTAGGTGACACTTCTGCAGAATAAATTCTACAAGTTCCCGGGGAAGGTTCTCTACATCTCATCTGTGATCAGTGGTTGGTAAATTAGGATTCCAGGGGAATTTTACAACCAGTGAAATTCTTAGGCCAGAAACAAAGCCCCATGAAGCGGCCCTACACGCCGGCCTTCTGGAAGAAGCGGAGCGGGAAAAGTCACTCAAACAGAAGGTCCTCGTCCCTCTCCTCGGCCAGAAGGTTGGCCGGCTCCAGCACCTCGCCGGCGGCCTTCCGCTTCGCCAAGTCCTTCTCAGTTTTCTCCTTCAGAATCTTTTTCTTCTCCTGTATTTTCTTTAACCTGTAAAGGAAAGGAATTTTCTGAATGCTATTTCAGTACTAAGTAGATTTGCTTTCTTCTAGTTTTGTAACACGGATAATAAATACAAACTAGAACAAAATTTTAATTTCAATTTTAGTAATTTATAGCCCATTAAAAAAAGATCTGAGGTACAATACACATATTCTAAGCTAACTGATTTCAAAAGCTCCTGTCCCAAGGTGAATGAACTTTGAAATCCATTCCCAGATAATGGAACAGATTTTGAGCATTTATTAAAGTATCATTCCATTTGGCTCACCACAACCCTGAACAGCACTGAAGGACAGAAACTAAATAACCTTTGATAATTTATATTAGAAGTCATACTCAGCTGCCGTTCAAGAGGGCCATGTGTTCCCTGAATATGCCTGCCTTTGCCTGTCCCCCACTTCTCTGAACCTGGCACTGGCCCCTGTACACACCTATTTAGTATTTATTGTCCCTACTAGCTCTGAATGTTCATAACTAATTTATGTACATGCATCATTTCTCTCCAAGTACTGCACTAGTTCTCTAATGGTATGATTTATACTACTACATAATGTCCCCTCTGGAACCAAGTCAGCATGCATTACATACTGGTTGATTAATTCCAGTTTCTTTTTATGTGGGAGACAGACACCCACATAAATCACTGTTTCATTTTAAAAAATAAGTCTATTAATAGTTCCTCTGACCAAAGTTTTTGGAGACGCCATGTTTTAGGTATGTGCAAAACTTGGCATAGATCTTTCCTCACAGCCTTTGGCAATATTCTCGCCGCTTATGTATCAGAATAAAATGCAAGCAGTGCTAATTCTAAAGAACAGAAGCCAACAAGTCTCTCAGCAGACAGAGACTTCGGAATATGGAAAACAGAAAATAATAACTGCCAGTTCCAACAAACCTATAGAACTCTTCTCGCTCTCTTTCATCCAGCTCTGTGATGATATAAGCAAGGGTACGTTCAATCCGGGGAATGATGACTAGGGTTTAAAAATATATATACACATGAGAACTTCAAACCACCTTTTTTCAAATTGCCAGTGCTCATTTGTATACCAGTTACTTTTTTTTATTATAAAATCAATGTACATTTAATGCAGAAAATTTTGAAAACAAAAATATAAAAAAGAAAATGAAGTATAATCCAACCACCCTAAAGTAACTATTATAAACATTTTGGTATGCACCCTTCTAATGTCTTTCCTATAGATAACATTGGACAGCTCGCTATATAGGACACTGAATTTATATGAATATATGACATTGAACCACAGTGTTATTTTAAATATACGGTAGTCTGTTGAAAAGTAGAGCATCAAGGCAGAGAGAATGCAGGGAGTTGGGTTTTGTGTTAGTCATAAGGTTCTGTTTTACACAGAATTTGCCTATTCTAGAATGTGAACATGAGAGTTGGGACTATTACCTTATCCATTTTGTTTCACTTGCAATTCCATGTACAAGGGCTGGCACTAGCAAGCAGTCAGGAAATGTGTTTTTTTAAGTTTTTAAAAAATGAGATAACTTCCTCTTCAAAGAGCCCAAGCAAAATAATGTTGCTATTCAAAGTTTTCTTCTTACCTTAAAACTGAAAAAATGTTCCTTTGATGAAAACTGAGTTTCTTAAGCAAAAAGTATTATATCAACACTAAGCAGTCATAGTTTTAAAATTATGAACTAAGATGGAAAATAGTGCATCAAATGGGAAAATTTATTTTCAGAAATCAAGGAGAACACAGGACATTATTTCTGTAGGACACAGGCCTAAGGGGGAGGGACTTAAATATTTAATGTGTTCAAAAGATGTATCATTCACTCAATCATTGGAAAGAACTAAAGAAAACACTAGAGTTCTTGAGAAATAGTTTCCACCCTTTATTCATATATAACCAGAAATTAATAAAATATTCCATAATTTTGAACTCACCACTCTCCTTCTATCCAAGCACTTTACATGTTCCTGCACTAATGACTCACTGCACTACCCACCGTGGGCACTGTCTTACCACCCAGCAGTCAGTGCCTGATCCTGGCAGCTGTTCAACAAATGCAGAAGCGTGCACAGTGGACAAAGAGCCCCACAGGCTTGCACTCACCATGTTCAATGGCATTTACACGCCTGTTGGTTATCTTAATAGCTTCATCCAAAGTAACAAAGGAAGTCTAAAACAAAGAGGACAAATAATGTAAGTACAAAGTCTTTCTAAATTGTGCTTGCTACTTGGCTCCATTCAGACAGCACTTGTAGAAAAAATTTGTAAACCGAGACTACTACTTTCAACATGTTAAAAAAATATTTTGTAAGATTTCCATAAAGCTAACACTATCTCCATGCTATTAAACTTACTTCAGACTTATCGAAAGTTATAAAAATGGCAAGAGGAGAGAATCATGCACAAATGACCTAGATACACATTAACTGGCCACAAAGGAAAAACATGGCTTTCATGCATACACCGTGTTAAGTTTGCATTTAAATTCACTGTCCTCACCTAGCAGAGTAAAACTACACCACTGCACATTTTGTTAGTAACACAAGTTGGGACAATGGTATAGAAGCCACCATTTCAGAAATCAAAACATCTTTAGCTTGTTTCAAAGAGGGTCGCGGAAACAGCTTGAAGTACTGAATGCAGTATGCCCTGAGCCAAATCTGCATCTACTGCACTCAAATATTAGAAGGAAATGGCAGGAGTTCTTCAGCAATTCTCTACCTACCTGCAGCGAGGCGAGTTCCACCAGCAGTTCCACTGCTTTGGCATAATTCCTCTTTAATTTAGCCAATTGTTCCCCACCTCTGGCTAAACCAGTCAGTTCATAACCTGAAAGAACCAGTCAGACAACATTGTAATTGTAGAATAATCTTCTCCCTAAAATTCCCCAAAAGAAGATAAGGCAGAACAATGCCAAAAGGGAAAAACAAATTGACTATCTGTGTTAAATGCAAACATGAAGTGCCTATCTCACTCCCCAAACACTGCAGGACATGACGCTGAATAGTCTTCCACAAGGATACTATTCTGACTATAGAAGTTTTTATCCAACCCTCACTTCACCAGACCACTGGAGTTACCAACTGCCCCATTCTCTAAATAGACCATACTGCCTGATGCCCCAGTACAATGACACTCTGTCCAGAATGCTCTAATTTATTCGAGCTGTACTAATTATTTTATGTGGAACAATGAAAGATAAGTGCCCAAGAAAGAATATTGTTTCTATTAAAAAAAATTTTTGATTAAACTCAAAGATGTTTTACTACAAAAATGCTGCCAAATTAGGGAAGGATGAGACAATTATAAAAAATTCAGAGTGGGTTATAAAAAGCTAGGAAGATTTAGCATTCAGTTTGCATCACAGTGTCCAAGATCTTATACTACTTTAAAAAGGCCCAAACTGGAAATTATAAACAATGCATTATGGGTGTGGTTTATGCAGAAAGACAATGTGGAAGTCTAATCAGTGGATTCACACCCAAAGAAAGGCCATCAGCTTATATTTCTGAAGTGTTAAATGGCTATACATTTATATATCTCTAGGTTGAAATAAAATATTTTAAGATAGGTACAATGTTTAATGACTCCCAGCCATAACACCTTTTGGTGAACTGACTATTGTCCTGGCTGTATCAGACAAGGCTCTAACACTGGAACCACCAAACTCATTTTCCAAAACAAGGTTCACTTAAAAAGAAATCAGGACCCAGAGACACTTACTGTCAGTTCCTTCATGGTAATGTTCAAATACTGGCAAAGTAACACCTGTTAAACACAGAAAAAGTCAACAGATCGTATGGGATTGTAACTGGCTTCAAGGAGTGAACTTAGGAACCTGCCTTCTTAAGTGTTCAATCCTATTCAAAAATTAAATTAGCTGAGTAATAAGGGATCTGGTTGTTACCGTGGGGTTTTTTCCCTTTCAGCTTTGATGGCTTAATATACAAAAAATTGCACATATTTAATGTATACATTTTGATAGAGTTTAGACACATGCATCCATCCATGATACCATCACCACAATCAAGGTAATAAACATATCTCCAAAAGATTTGTTGTGTCCCTTTTCCTGTGTGTGTGTGTGTGTGTGTGTGTGTGTGTGTGTAACTCTCAATATGAGATCTACCCTCTGAACAAGTTTTTAAGTACACACCATATTATTCTATTAGTAGTACAGCATATCTCTGGAATGTATCCTGTATAACCTTAATTTTATATCTACTGAACAACTCCCCATTTCCCCTACCCCAACCCCCTGGCAAACACCAGTTACAATGGGTTTAACATGTAAAGCCAATCAACTTGTTCTAGGCAGAAAAGATTAACTGGGATATCAAGATATTGCTATATAAACAGATTAATTTTAAAATGTCACCTTTTCTCCCCTAAGGGTTCTAAAGGGTTGAAGAGTTACCTGCTACATTATCTTTCTTTGCTCGAATCTTCACTTGGGCTTTATTTACATTTTGGATAACGGTGGTGCTGCAGGGGGAAAAAAGGCCTTGGTTTAGTTGTGTTTTTAGAGTGAAAAATAAACCTACCACTGGATAATTTTAACAAGAGTGAGGTGTCACAGGTAAGTATGTTCTGATAACATCTTTTTCCAGAAAAGGACAAAAATCACTACTTCCAGAGGAGGGCGTCAGAGAGCAAAGAGTGAGAATCAGCCCTACAAAAAGCAACAGAGAATGATTTCAAAGTATGCAGACTGCTTGAGTTTTCAGTCAAGACGTGGGATTTTCATCCTGCTAATGTAATTTAGAGAAAGCTTGCCGTCCTTTTAGGTCTGCTGTTCAAATCTAAGTTTGGCTAAGCAGGAGTACAATTCCTTTACCCTAGAACTTACCTACCTTCCATCTGCCTTTGTCTGACTCCTCATTTTTATTATAAAACAGTGTTTTCCCCGTAACCACCCTAAAGCATTCACGGACCACTTACACACTATTGATTCCCTCCCTCTTCCAGAAAAGTCAATGCAAGTTGTTATCCTACCAACACTGGCAAAACTTAGTCTACTGCTTCAAAGGCCTTATGCCCCTCAGGCTGTTAAGACCTGCCCACCAGGTAATGATCCTAGATAGATAATAGAAACTAAGAATGAAGGCATTGTTTTATTGGGCAAAGAAAAATAAAATCAAAACCCCTGAAAATAACTCCTACCTCTGCCCCTGAATAGCCATTTCACTCAGGAAGGCACTGAACTTAAACTGAGAATAACTGCCTACCGGGTCTACTTCACAGTCTTATTTGGGGAATCGCATAACATGGAAATGGGCAAAACCCCTTTGTAAAGCAATAACTGAAGTACTTTGTATGCTTTGTAAAGCATATATTGACAGGGCAAAAGCCATAAAATACATGCCCTTTAAATGATCAATTCCATCTTCAAAATTTTATCCTAAGGAAATTAATTCAATAGAAACAAAAATACATATGAATGAAGATGTTCATGGCACCTTTTCTAATATTCCAGAAAATCTGGCACCTTTTCTAATATTCCAAACCCAAAGGTCCTCCATTAGGAGGAAAGGGTAACGAATTATGGTACATCTAGAGAAAGATTATGCAGCTAAGTGAAAACAAGGAAAAATATTTATGATAACGATGTTAAATGGAAATGGACTATAAAATATTAAGTATCCTGTGCCTGCAACTATGTAACAGATACATGTGGGTAGTAATAAAGACAGTGGTGTTAAGGTGATGGGGTTAGGTGTCCTTCCTTATTACTCCTATATCAACTGTCTTTAATGCTTATATTTTTTAAATTTAAAATGGCTTTTAAATAAAATTATGAACATAAAAGCACTCTGATTTTTTAAAACACCCCCTTTAGTCTTCTTACCTGAAGTCCCCTGCTGTGAATTTGGCCTCAGCAAGTGAAAAGGCAGCTTCTCTCATCACTTCACCCATCAACATTTTAGTCTGAAAAAGCATAAGCCAATAGCTGATACAACTAAGTTTTTTACAAGGAAAAATCATAATCATGTTCCTTTAATAATCATCAGTATTTTATGTCAGGTGTGCATGTAAACACTGATTTGATAATGATAAAAAAAAAAAAATTCCAACTTTGCTTGAACAGTTTTGGTTATGGTCACTAACCTTGTTGCAAAACCATAAGTTTTATAATTAAAACATCAAAATAAAGACATTAAGAAATCAAAAACTGAATCTCTACTGCAGGACTATGTTATTTCTGAATGGGTCCAAGACGATTGACTTAAATTAATCTCCTAAATTCATTACAGTGCAGTCAAAATCCTAATGGCATAGTGATTCTAAAATAAATCTGGAATAGTCTGAGAATATCCAATAATTTACTTTGAAAGAGAAGAGTAACTGGGACAGGTGGGTAGAGAGCTACCTTACCAAGTATTAAAAATGTATAGCTATGATAAGGAAATAAATCAGGTACTAGGTCGGTAAGTCAATGAAATGGAATAGACAGTTCAGAAACAGCCCCAGGACTACACTGGAATTTAGTAGTGTAAAGAGACCATTCAACTGGCCATCCATTTACAAAATGATAAAGCTAAATCCCTACCTCTTCACATCACCACCAGCACCCCCAAAAACCCAGAAATTATTAAAGATTTTTAAAACTATAAAATAAAACAGACTATTTTCCTAATCTTTTTAGGTATTTCCAAGCATTATATGTAACCCAAAAGCTATATAAAGGAAAAGACTAACAGATGTGACTGAAAAAAATTAAGATATCATTTTTAAGAAAGTTAGACTTGAAGAAAATATTTTTAGCATTTTATACACTAAATACAGAACTTCCACAAAAAAATAAAAGAAAATCAAATTACCAGTAAACATGAAAAGATGGTCAACATCACAATCAAAAGTAGTACAAACTAAAATAAGATAGCAATTTTAGACCAATGTATTGGCAACAAATAAAAAAATTAATACCCAATTAAGAAGAATTTAAGAAAATAGGTCTTCTCACTAATCATTTGGTAGATACATAAATTAGTATAACAATTTAGAGGGTGATTTCACAGTTATTTATCAAACATTTAAATGATTCTTGAGAGTCTAAGATTCTTTTCCAGAGAAATGCTAGCATACATACACATAAGCAATGCTAGCACACATACACATAAGGACTTAAGAGTACCTTCCCCCACAAATGGTAAAATTACACATCCATCAATAGTAGAGAAACGGTTAAATTCCATTACCCATGTGATGGAGTACTATTCAGCTGTTATACAGAATAAGACTGATCCATATGTAGTGACATAGAAAGCTGTCCACATTCTGCTATGGAGTAAAGGAAGGGGGAGTGGGGCAGAAAATAAATGTTATATAAATATAAATATATGTGTGTGTGTATATATTACATATATACACATAAATATATATATATGTAAGTTGCATGCACGTTTGTTACTAAGAACATGTGTGTGTGGATATACAGCCACACATGATACTCTTGGTATATGCTTTACAAAAGCAATACTTTTGATATGTGTTAAGAGAGATTGAGAGACTGAGGGAGAAAAAAATTGAGAGAGAGAAGAAGGAAAGGATATAAACCAAAATGTCACAAAGAACTCCTCTGGGAAATGAAAGGATAATTGGGGCTGGGGAAGGGGAAATGGGAAAGGACTTTTACTTTTTTATATACTTCTGTATTCACACATCATTTATCCAAAAAGTATTGAGTTAAAATACCAGGTGCCAGCACTGTGCTAGGCACTGAAAATATATTGCTGAAAAGACAAAGTCCCCCTCTCATGGAACTTACATTCTCTAGTGGGGTTAACCAATCATACAAGAACATACCATGCAGTAGTACGTGCTATGATAAAAACAAAGTAAGGAAATGTGACAGAAGTAAATATGGTGGTCACTTCAGATTGGGTGATCAGCAATGGCCTCTGGGAAGAGACCAGGATGGCCAGAGGAGCCAGTCATAAGTAGTTCTGGGGAAAGAGCATTTCGGACAGAAGAAACAGCTAATGCAAAGGCCCTGGAGGAGGCTGTTAGGAAGAATGCAGCAAATGAGATCAGGGAGGCAGGCAGGGGCCAGATTAGGTCAAGTGGGGCTCAGGAACAAGAGCAAGGAGTTTGGATTTTATTAAATGAACTATGTGAAACTCCTTACTTTATAATGGTACTTTTACTTTTGAAAAAAAAAATTTAATTCAAATAACCAAAAAGTAAAATGTCAATAGCCACCTGGCAGGCGTGGCTCAGTATTGAGCATCGACCTAGGATCCAGGAGATCGTGGTTCGATTCCAGTCAGGGCACATGCCCGGGTTTCAGGCTTGATCCCCAAAAGGGGGTGTGCAGGAGACAGCAGATCAGTGACTCTCTCATCATTGATGTTTCTTTCTCTCTCTCTCCCTCTCCCTTCCTCTCTCTGAAATCAATAAAGAAATATTAAACAAAAATGTCAACAGCCATGTTCAATTTTCCTTAGCTATTTCTAAAATACTGTTCTAAGCAAAGTTCATTCTACCTCTATGATCTTCTTTAGGATCTGTCGAAATCGAAGAGTTAAGGCATCAGATTTTTTCTTCAGGAGGTTTCGACCTGTCTGTGCTCCTTTTAATCGAGCCTTCATGATGGTCTGTGCCCTGTATAAAGAAAGTTAAAGACATTTATTCCCATTGTTTAAAAGAAATAAAAATTCCTCCCCAATACAATGTTAAAATTATGCTTTATTTTTGATGTCATCAGAATAATATATAGCATTTGTAGTTGATGGATTTAATTGGTTTCTCAATACTGCAGTCTTCTACCCTCAAGTGTTCCATAAATGAGAAGTGTATTTATTTAAAACTGAAAACAATGTTTTAATCAATATTTGGCAAAAATACTTATTAAGTCATAATAAAATTTATCAGGAGTGCTATTTTATAATGCCAGCATGGTTTAAATACTTATTTGATTTGTAAGTTAAAACAATATCTGTTTCCATTAGAAGTGTATTAAGGATTTTTTTTTTAAATCTGTCCACTAATTTATATCAAAATTCAAAATGCACTTATCTTCAGGACCAGCAATTCCACTTTAAGGAATTTATCCTACAGATTTACTCCCACATGTATACAAAACATGTCTAAGGTTAAGAATGAGCACTCCAGCACTATTTATAATACAAATGGGTGGAAACAAGTTAAATGTTCCATAAATTATGTCTCATTATACAATGGAATGACATGCAGTCATAAAAAAAAAGAGTAAGGTAGGTCGACATGTGTTTCCTATATTATATATACTGTTTTAGCTATGCAAAGCAAAGAAGGATAAATATGCTTATATAGATACAGAGAAGAGACTAAAAAGGATTCACAGAGACTGTAAGTTTCCTTTGGGAAATGGGGCTGACTGAAAAAAATAAGATTTACTTTTTACTACTATATTCTTTTGTATCTTTGGCATTTTATTCCACAACCACTTATTACTTTTTCTATTAAAAGTGTGGTATTAAAGTGTTTTGATATCAATCAAGATCCTACTACCATTTTATTAATTTGTAAATGACTTTACATAGCAAATAAATGTAATAAATTAGGTAACAAATGACTCTGGGTAACTTATAAGCGACATATATTAGTAAAGACTCCTAAGAAGTGACAAGCTACTGAAGTCTCCTTAGCTCCTATTTCAACCTTTTCCCATCAGAAACCCCAATACCAAAGTCTAGAAACCAACAGTAGAAATTAACATTTCTGTTCTTGCTCCCATATGCCAAATGAAATTTAATAATGGAATAAAGTGGGTAATAAGTTCAACAATAGATTATCTTAAATACTTAAAGTGATTTGTTTAACGGGATATAATTTCATATGAATGGTTTGATAACCAATTGCAAAATAGTGGGTATTAATGGACGTTTTGGCTAAATTCTTAGTATTTAAATCTTTTACCATAGTGCAAAGCTTACTGAGGCAATTCTCTAGCTGGAAGGAGCTTTAGACATTATCCTTAAAGTTAAGAAAATGAGGCTCAGGAAAATGAAACAACTTTCCCACAGTCACTCAATGAAGAAAAGGCAGAGCAGGACCTGAAACAAATTTCTGGCTCCAGTGACTCGCCCAGGCTCAAACTCTCAAACCTAGGTCCACTGTACCCCAAACACATGGGACTACAGATTATGAATAGCACCAGATGAACAATTCTCTCTCTAGCGATCAGGGGCTGACTCTGCACTCACTGAAGGTCTAACCAGTGAAGCTGGTTCAGTTTCTTGCCTGAACAGGAGCTAGCCACCCCAATGTGTACATTTAAACATACTGTATTGTTGACACTAACCACCAGAATTTCGGCTCAAAGAGTTGGATCAAATTTAAGTCAAATCCTAGTACTGCAGCTTCCAGCAAGTTCATAGTAAAAAGGCAAACTGGTTGATAAAATTGAACTTACCATGCTAATTTTAATTTCCTCTTAGATAATGGCACCTCTGTAAAATAAAACTTTTACTCTTGACACTTGAAGTGTGACTTGCCCAAGGGTTTACAGCCCTTATAGGTATAATTTGGATTTAACTGATTTCTGTGGACTCCAAATCCTTCATGCCTCTTTTAATCTCACCCTAAACTTGCTTCTGTTTCTGGTGCCTAAGTGGGTGTCAGCCCCATTTCACAGGCTAATACTGTAAGCTGGAACTGTCTCAAAGAGAAGTCACTACTGTATTTTCTAGCCTAGCTCTTAAAAAAATTGTTCTTTTACAAGTTCCAGCCCTACTTAAAAGTGTTTGACCTTCAGCTAGGATGATAACTTGTTTCCAGATGAATCAAAGACATATGACTACATGACCAAGTACCTGCGCTAAGCCTTGGGGAAAATATTTAGAGATGCCGTTAACTTCCTGCACCTGATTTTCCCCTTAAACAGCAAGCTGGGTGCTCTCAAATAGCAATTTTCCCCTTCACAAACCTATCATTCTTCTTAAAGAAGTCTATTTTCACCTCTTAGTCTTAAAGTATAACAAAAAAAGGTTAACATTCTACTACTATCTAAGATTAACACAGCCAAACTTCAGTTGAACCAGTGAAAATAGATTTTACTTAGTAAGAACTCAGTAGGGGAAAGAGCTGAGCTCCATTCTTATTTGTGCAGAGGTGACTGGCATTTTAAAGGAAGAATGAGGGAAGGGAGAGAGAGGGGACTCTAGAAGAATCAGGGACATGAAAAATTACAAAGGGCTGGTCAGTGGAAATTAGTGGAAATGTGGCTGCAATTCTGGAAGTTAGGATTCTATCCTCGCTGACAGAGGCCCTATCCTTCCTGGTAATTACATTTCAAAGAAATGGTTTTCAGGTCCTTGAGAAAGATACTTCTATATACAGGGAGTCCCAAAAAAATGTATACACACACTTTGAATAATTATAAAGGCAGTGTTTATTAAACCACATTTCATTTTCAAAATTGAGCTATCAGCTGTTAAAGTGTGTATACATTTTTGGGGACCCTATACATCTCAATGGGAAAATGAAGGATTCATAAACTGAAGAGTTAATGCCCTAAGAAAGGGCGGTCAGAGATCTACCATCAGGTGTTGGCTAGAACAAACAGTAAATTCTCCTGGCAGCACTGAGCTTTCTCAGGCAGACATTTTAATGGGGGCCGGTATCATCTAGGAACACAGCCTTAGACTGCTACAAGCTATGCTAGAGATTGGCTCTCTTCTCCACAACTGACAATTCCCAGGTAGTACAAACAGCTATTAGAAAGTTAGCAGGTGAAAGTAAAAATATAAACAAACAGCCAGTAACTCCTTCATTTCAATAAGAGCTGTAGCCACCCAGGCGGAGACAGAAATCTAGGTTTGGGGTTTGAAAATAACTCTTATTTTAAGAGTCCTCAGATTCTCTGAGAAAAAGGTCAAGATGAAGAAAAACAACAGAATACTTCCAAAGAGATAGGACCACAATAAAAAAAAAAAAAATCTAAATGTCAGAGCCAAAAATGATCTTCTGCTCCTCACTGGGAAAAAAGAAAAAAGAGGAAGAGGAGAAGGAGAGGGCCAATAAGAACAATCTTTACTTTCCACACATTGTTAGGTACTTGTGAGAAAACCTCAAAATTTTCTTTACAGACTGACCAAACACCTAGGGCGACATGCTATTTCTCCTGCCAAAGAAATCAGGCCAAATGAGAAAGGAAGTGCACAGCTGAGCAGATTCCAAGGCCTGGGTTCATTCAAGGAACATTTTCTGTGGACTGTCTATGGATCGAGACACTCTCATCCTGGAGAGAGCCACAGTCCAGTGGGAAAGCTAGGTAAATGCCATCCACTCTACAAGGTGATGGGGGATATTAACGGAGGTCTGAACAGGGTGCAGTGGTGACAGAGCAAGAGGAATGCCTCAGAAACTCGGGGCTATCTTCCCACCGCAGGTGACATTTCATGGGATTTTGGAAAATGACTAAGGGGATCTAAGATCGAATCTGAAGTCCACGCTAGGGCATTTCGATTCAACACCCAATTTGGCTTAGAAGTCTCCTCTGTATGCAGTAAACTTCCCTTCTCAGTCCATTTATCAAACCTCGTTGGCTTGTCCATCTCTTCGCTTAACCGAACGCTGTTAGGGCAGGAGTGGCGACGATTCGCAGTTACATAAAATCAGGGCCCGGTTCAATAAGGAGTGTGGAATGAATGGCTCGATTAATGAGGAAGGTCAGCCGACCTCCACAAGAGCCAGCAGGCCAGGTGCTCGTTCCTAGGGGCCGGGATCGCTCTGACCAGCCGGGTTCACTCGGAGGAATGTGTGAGGGGGCCGTCGGGGAGCCTCGCCCTGCACTCACGAAACGAGACGGGAGAGCTCAGGATCCGCCCAGAAAATCTGGAACCTCGCCGCTGGTCCAGGGTCGGAGGAAACGAGAATCCCTCCAGGCGTTCCTGAACCTAATGAGAGCTGCCCGTCCCATTCTTTTACTTACATTCGCGAGGGAAATATTTCAATTCGGTCTTTGCCCGACATTCTGACGGCGACTGTTCGGCTCGGGTTCCCGGCCGGGCAGTCGCGGTTGCCACAGACCCAGCCACAGCGCCTTCCTCTACCGGAGTCAGCTGATTGTGTCACTTGACACCCCCCTCGTTGCTAAGAGGCCGCGGCGATACGCATTCCTCACTTCCGCTTCCTGTTGGCGCTGGGGGTGAAAGGGTGGGTGGTGGGAGGGACCGGAGGGCGTGAAAAGGGCGATGCCCGGATGTTGAGGCGCGCGCACCACAAGACGGCCCCTCAATTTGGGTTCACTTTCTAGCCCCTCCCACTCCAGCTTCCGGGCGGCTGCGCAAGGCTGTGCCAGCTGGAAGCGAAAGAACCAGAGAGAAGAGTACACGCCTTCTCTTCCTCCGGTTGTCATCTTTGGTCACAGCGCCACCTCATGATTGGCCCAACCTTTGAGATAGAATTTATTCTTCAGGGACAAGGAATCAGAGTCCTCCCTCTTCCCTGCGCCTTGAAGGTTACTTATAGGAAACTAAACGAAGCTTTGAGAAAGTGTAATTTTCAAGTCCTCCTGTGATCTACGTTCTTCCTTGTTCTCGGAGGACCTGGACTCTATGGTCAGTGGGGAAGAAGGGCCTCTATTCCGTTGGCGCTGGCGTGTTGCGAGGTGGTGCCGCATGCGCGGTGGGGTTGAGCGAAGCGCACGCTGAGGAGGAGCGGCGGCGGCGGCGGCGGGTCAAGTGTGATCTCTACGATTCAAAAGCGCGGCCCTAGACTCCACTGTGGGATCCAGACGTATACCTCAGGTGACTAGTCCTCTAGATCGGTTTCTCAGAGAATTCGCTGTGCTTGTGTCCCGTACGTGGGTGGTCGAGAGAAGGTAGGCCCCTGGCTAGCACCTCTCCCGTCCGTGCGCGGGAAGTGTTTGGACACCGCGGCCACCACCCGCCGGCGTCGCGTCGGTCTTGCCGTGTTGCAGAGGTGCCTCTACGAGCGGAGGAGTCTCGCGAAGGAGAAGGGGCCGACTGACTGCACCTCCTCTTCAGTACACTTAAAGGGAGGCTGCCTTGAGGTGGGGGCGCCTTGGGGGAACGCAGCGACACCCCCGAGGACGCTGTGCACTTCGCTCCTTCCGGGCTTGACAATTCCGGCCTTTTTTTTTTTTCTTTCGGTCACAGAAAGTACCACCTCTCAGTGAAAACCAGACCGGACACCTCAAGGGACCACTGGGATGGGTTACAGGTTAGGCAAGAGATGGGATATAAAGGGTCCATGAGTAATTTATTCATTTGATCGTTTATTTTTTAAAAATTGAAGCCCATACTGCCTTATCGCTCGAGATGAGCATTTCTATAGAATGAGTCACTCCTTCAAATTAAAACATGCTGTGGAGTTTAGTACGCTTCCCGTCTGTCTGCCTGCCGTATTTCAGCACCGATGACCACAGAATTACAGGCTGTGGTCTTACAGTGAAGTAAAACGAAAACTTAAGGAAATTTTAAGGTTAGGTACCTATTCAGCCTGAGGTCGCTTTTATTATTCCCCAAACTTAAGCTACTTTAATTTTTGTTAAACAAGAAACGTTGTTTCATGGGGAGGGGGGACTAACAGAGAAGTCTTGGTTTTTCTCTCAGTTGAAGTTGTTATTCAAGAAAAAACTTGTGACTGTGTGTCTTTGAACAGTTTGGGAATTAATTCTACTTACAGAGCTATACTGCCAATTCTCAGTTTCTGATGCCAGAAGATCTCAGAGATGCACAGTGGTGTTTGTAGATCCCGGTGCTTCCTTTTGCAACTACAGTGAGATCATTTAAAAGTGCTTTTTTTTTTTTCTGTAGCACTCCTATACTAAAAACTAGCATTCAGAGAGCGTGTTAGACTGTTCACCACAAGAGTTGTTTCTAACACATAATACATGTCATTTGGAAACGAATGTGGACTTCCTGTATCCATTATGCTGACTTCACCATACACTGGTTTAAGAAAGAAGTCCTACCTACCATTTAACTAAGCAAAGCTGCTGACAGTGCAGGGTATTTGAAATTAGCTTGGAGTTCTGTTAATGTATTCTGAAAGATGGACATTAACAAAGAACTCATATGGTTTTGCAGTACTGTGACATATTGAGATTCTGTGGGTTCAAGACACCCTGGATTTAATGTCGTAAGACTTGTTTTTACCTTGTGTTCTAATACTTACTAAGCATTTGTTTTTAGGAAGTCACTTAATATTTCTGTTCCTTGGCTCCCTGTTAATTGATTGCTCTGCTGTGATCCTTTCATAGTACCTCTTATTTTGCAGTTACTTGCTTATTACTTTGTTTCCCATTCCAAACTTAAATTCTAAGCTACAAAATGGAAATAATATTTCCTTTATGTGTATTTTATCTCATTTGATACTCTCCACAAATCCGTGAGGTACATGGCACAGACTAGAAACTACAGTTCAGTGGGAACACATTTTCAAACTAGCTAGTAAGTAAGATAGCAAAGACTGGTACCCACATGTACAACTATTCACAAAATTCACTATGCTACTTGCCTGAAGTCAAAGGGCTTTGAAAATTATATAAAGGACTGATAGATGCCTAACTTGTGGCTTCTATTTTCCTGACTGCTTTTTTAAAAGTTAGTGTAATTATTAGCGTAAATAAGGAGATATGTTCAAAATTTGTCAACCAATATGCAGGCTCTTTGTGAAATGCACTCTTTTTGTACTTACCAGGAATTTCGTGAAGGAAAGTGAGCCAAGTGACTGTACAGCCTCTTCAGTATACTTAAAGTGAGGATGCTTTGAGATGGGGCGCCTCAGGAGAATGCAGTGACACCCTCGCCCTAGGACGCTGAACACTGTGCTCTTTCTGGGCTTAAGAATTCTGACCATTTTAAAAAAAACAAAAACCACACAAGACTGTGAATAGCATACTGTTAGCGGTATTCCTTTATTTACCTTATATATTGCAAAGAGACTTGAACCCCCTATGGCTATAGCATTTATATCTCCCTTCAGAATTCTTTTACACTATTGCCTGTGTTCTTTAACCCTCAAGTTGAGCCTTGCTTCCCTCAAATTATCAGCTTTACTATTTGAAGAAACTTGATAAGTAAATGTGGGTAGCACATATTAAATTTCTTAAAACTATTTCACAGATCTCCATGACATCATTTTATTTTGATACCCAGTTCAAAACATTTTTAGCTCTCAAATTTTAGTACTTTATATACAGATATTTGACAGTAGCCCCCCATCCCTGCCAAAAAAAAAAAACCTACTGAAAATGAAATGACCTGCTCAGCTGTTTTTTTGGTGGGTAATCCTGGCCATTGAATGTCCACTGCCCTTTATTTCCTAAACCTCTATTTTGTCAAGCCACAAGAGAAATACATCTCTGCCACTATTATGAATGTGCTGCTTTATTTTTTTTGTTAAACAGGATAGATTAGCACTAAAAGTTTTTACTAATCTACAGTATATGCTTCAGCACTAAATATGTATATTAATGTTACTTTTTGTTTAAGGTGTGTCTAATTGTAATATATCAATAATGTTGAGAGAAAATATTGCCTAATGAATAAGCACAGACTGTAGATCCAAACTTCAAAGGTTCAAATTCTGACACTATCACTGGTCAGTAGTATATGACAGAACAAGTTGCTTAAGCTATGTTTCAGTTTCTTCATCTATAAAATTAAGAGAAGCAGAACCTCAGGAAGATAAGCAGCAGCCAGATCATACAGGACCCTGTAGGTAGTGGAAAGATGTATATAAATCAGTGGGAAGATACATGTGGGGACAGTTAGCACTGCAGCACAACTCTGGTGGCCTGTGAGCTGGATATGGATGTTCTGTCTTTAAGATCAAGTAATGGCAGCCTTATTTCCCAATTAATAAGAAAAAGATAAGTTAGTAAATTTTCACAAATTTTTGTAGGCATTTAGGTCCTATTACTGCCTGTTTTCTGAGCTTTGATGAGTAAACTGGTTAAGGTTTGAAGAAAATGAAAATCATCAACTATGATTAGTTTGAGAGCTTCTGTTTAAAAATATATTTCTATTTATGGTATGATTTTAGGCTTGTGGGTCATAAAAGGAATATTGCTGAAAGTGGGTTGGGTGGATCAAAGGGAATAGTTTTAAATACACTTAATGCTTGTAAGTTAAGAGAAACTTGAATTTTATAGTAATGGAGATCTATAAATCTATTCTCAAGATTGGGTATACCTAATCAACAAAAGGTAAGAGTATTTGGGAGTGATGAAAAAATTAGAAGCTGGAAAATTTGGATAGGAGGGTACATGTTAGTTCAATTTAATATCTGTTGTGATTAGTAAACTTAGTGTTTGTCCTGATATGTGACCTTATAATTTTGGCTATAATAAATTATAGAGTATATCATTTAATATACAGTTATGGTTAGGATTTAAGTTAAAGAAGATTCTTCCTTTTTTATGTAGTGGGTAGCAGCATATACAGTCTCAGCTGATGGGGAGAAAGAATAGCTTTAGAATTTGCTGATAGGTTTATTGATGCGTCCCATCATTTGTTTTTTCTTGAAGTGGTGGTAGTAAAGTAGTATTAAACTCTTGAGGTGTACCTTTAATCCTTAGATCTCAGAGTACTTTATAGATGGTCATTATTTTTTATGATTCTTCTGAAACTGATGGCAGAGAATCACCCAAGCCTTACAAAAATGTGGAGCAATATATAAATTAAAGCTTGGTTCCTAGACATCGTCTATTTTCTGATACCATTTAAGAAGTTTAAAGAGGTAAGAAGACTAGCAACTTCTTCCAGCAAATTCACTAGCAAACTATGGAAAATTGACTGACACTTTATTTTGACCTTAACTGAGCACTTACTTGATTCCTTTGTTTAAATTGCAGAATGCCGGGTCTGAGTTGTAGATTTTATCAACACAAATTTCCTGAGGTGGAAGATGTAGTGATGGTGAATGTAAGGTCCATCGCTGAAATGGGGGCTTATGTCAGCTTGCTGGAATATAACAATATTGAAGGCATGATTCTTCTTAGTGAGTTGTCCAGAAGGCGTATTCGTTCTATAAACAAACTCATCCGAATTGGCAGGAATGAATGTGTGGTGGTCATTAGAGTGGACAAAGAAAAAGGTAAGTGAGAAAAATATCTAAAATACAGGGTGGGGCAAAAGTAGGTTTATGGTTGTGAGTATGCAACACAGTTTATTCTTGTATTAATATTAATTACGGTATTATTTTCCATACGAACAACTGTACCCCTACTTTTGGCCCATTCTTTATAACTTTCAGATTTAAAATGGTTTATTATAAAATATATTTTTTGTAAATTGCCTACTACAGTAAAAAACCAAAACACCTTGTTTTATAAATTCTTTAACGTACAAAGTTGTTACGGAAGGATGCCAGTTAGCCATCTAAGCAAGACCTCTTAAGTTAGTGGTTTAATTAGTACATCACAGGGCTCATTTTTATGGGTCAAATAACTTGAATTTTATTCCCAGAGGCATTTTTCACTTAATATTTTCAGACCATGGTACATAAACAATTTATAAGTCTTAAATTGCATATCATTCTGAGTAGCATGGTGAAATCTCTAGCCTTTCTGCCCAGTACGTGAATCACCCCTTTGGCCAGCGTATCCACACTGTATACACTACCTGCCCATTAGTAACTTAGTAGCCATCTCAGTTATCAGATTGACTGTCAAGTTGCAGTGCTTGTGTTCAACTAACCATTATTTTACTTAATAGCCCCAAAGTATAAAGTAGTGTTGTTGGCAATTCAGATACGCCAAAGAAAAGGCATAAGTGCATCCTTTAAATGAAAAACTATGGATGTATAGAGCAAAAAGTAGTATATATAGAGTTTGGTACTAGCTGCAGTTTCAGGCATCCACTGGGGGGTCTTGAAACATATCCCCTGTGGATAAGAGGGGACTACTGTATTCCTTAAACTTTAATAAGTCTTCATGTCAATGACCTAGAATGCTGTCTTATCTTGTATTTCTTTATTCTTATAAAAAATATATAACAAGGAATCAAATGTCCACCTGCAATCAGAAAAATATTTTATTTGCATATACAATAGATATATGTAAAAATAATAGCTGCATTGTTTTTGCAGTATTAATTAAAAACAGGAAATAATCAGAATCATGGTGAAATAAATCATGACACTTCTGATGTGGAAAGATGTCCAGGATAAGATAAGGAAAAAAGCAGAGTATGGAAGATCCTATGGAGGGGGATCCATTTAGGATGCTAGAAGATTAGTTTCTGTTGGACAAACCTTTAAAAATAACAGCTTTAAACCCTGATTTAATTTTTTTTTTTTTAAACTAAAGACATTGGTAACAATCAAAAGCAGGCTGAAATTGAAGGAAGAAAGGAATTGCCTGGATAAGTTTTGCAGCTTTTTGTCTGAATGTGTGTCACAGATAGCTTCAAGCCAATATTCTAGTGGAAACCTACAGTCTTAATGGCGTGAGAACCAGAGGTGATAGTTCGGAATAACCACAGCAGTTAAAAAGTAGTAACAGAGGTCAGAGAAAGGAGAGACACAGGAAAAACTCCTAAATTTATATATGAATTATGCTTAACTCTCTACAGGTTAAAAAACTAAACAGGTTTCAGTTGCTTTCTACCTGGGAGACAGACCTTATAGTTCTGAATTAACTGCCTGCTATAACAAAATCAGTATCTTTAAGGGGAACATAAAGAAATTCAGAGTTCGTCACATACCATTCACAGTGTTCGGGATACAGTCCAAAATTGCCAAACATTTAAAGAAATAGGAAAATACGGCCCATACAGAAGAGAAAGGGCAATCAGTGGAGACTGACCTAGAGATAAGCCTTATGTTGGAATTAGCAGATATTGTAACTGCTCAAGGATATTAGGAAAATATGCTTGTAATGAACAAAATGAAATCTCTATAGAGAAATTAGAAACTTTCACACAAAAAAAGCAGTATAAATTCTACAAATCAGAAGTACAATATCTAAAAAATTCACTGGATGAGCTAACAGATTAACGATGACAGTGAAACTTGAAGATAGTTCATTTAAAATAGGACCAACCTGAAGAACAGGAAAAAACCTGTCAAATATCAAAAGCTCTATTCCAAAAGAAAAGGAAAGGGCAGGAAATATATTTGTAGAAATCATGTCCAAAAGTTTCCCGTATTTGCTGGAAAAATGTAAATTGGAGGGGCTAGCAAACCTCAAAGATAAATACTAATAAGATTGCATCTAAGCATATCAGACTATTGAAAAACAGATAAAGAGAAAATCTTGAAAGTAGCCAGGGAAAATGACACATTATTTACAGAGGAATAGTAATATAAATTACTGTGGTATTCTTATTGGAAATAATGAGGTCAGAGCATTGAATGACATCTTTAAAGTACTGAAAGAAAACTGTCAAACCAGAATTCTGTATCTAAAGAAAATATTCAACAGTGAAGATCAAAATGAGAACTTCTCAGGTAAATAGAAACTAAGAGGATTTATTACCAAATAGACCCGCATTATAAGAAATACCAAAGACCAAAGAGAGGTGATGCCTAAAATAAAAAATGTGTAGGTACATTTTAAAGACCTTTTTTCCCTCCTGAATTCTTTAGAATGCTGGGCTCTATCTGCACTGGTAGGATTTTAATTTATGGAGGTGACTGATTACATGGAGAGGCCAATGCCATTGAAAGAAGATTTTTAGTAAGTTTCCCAGGAGATGAGGACAAGCCTTTGTCATGGAGGACCACATGGGGAAGCACCAGATTGGTCAGGAAGCAGAAGGAGCAAGGGGAAAGCCAGAGCCTTTATTAAGATTTCCATGGGAAAGGCAAGGCAGATCAGGGTAAACAGTGTAGGGTTGGCTAGTTTGAATAGTTTTGGCAAGCCTTGAGGCATCACAGCTGTTCTGGTGGTCTGGTACCTGGCTTTGGGCTGATTTAGAGCAGGGGGACTGGATGATTGGCTTGGTGTGTGAGACTTGGATGAGGAAATGTTTAGGGATATGGGCTCTGGATTGGTTAGGTGGCATGTGAAAGGCTGCTGCAGTTGAGCCCTTTGCTATCTCTAAGAATTGACTGGCCCTGGAAAGGGATTTCTCTTCCCACCCAGTCAGCCAGGCCACAAATGTCAGAGCACCAGTGCAGGTCTCTGGTGCTCTGATGAACAGAGGAGCATCTGGGACTCTCCAGACACACTCTTTTGTCCACCTGTGTGATTACAGTATTGATATGCTACAAGAAGACAAAGTTGATCACAGCTTGTCATCCCAGATGTCAGCATCCCTGATGAACAGGTGGCCCCAGAGAATCCCCAGCCAGACTCTTTATCCACATGGTTGATTTTTAGCATGAACCTGGTACCACAGAATCCAGTTGGTTCCATGATATGGAAGAAACACCAAAAACATACCTCTTTCATACACACACAGCATGAATAGTTGGAGGCTCTTTTCCTACACTATGTTTCCAGATAAAAACCTTCAAAAGGAACTCACTTTGAAACTCAACCTACCGGAGTCAACAATAAAGACTTGGTTGAGAAACTGGTGAGTCAAATTGAGAAAGCAGCAGGAGCAAAAACAACTATCACTAAAGCAACCAAACCAGATTCTTCCAGCCAAAATGTGCCCTCGTCACCCACAACATCAACCAGACCTTATTTTTTCCCTGTGTGTTTCAGATTTCTGTGGTTCCTTTCCACCTTTAGGCCCTTGCAATTGGGCATGGGACTCTGTCATCACTGAGTGATGTCCAAATGCAAGCTCCTCTGTTGGAGAGGCTAATGGCCTCGGTTCCTGCTTTGTACTCTGATGCCTGTGACATAGCCCAAACCATTGAACTTGTTTTCCTAATGAGAATGAAATATCTGACTCTTCTTTCCACTCTCTATATCAGTATCGCTCATCCACAGGCCTCAGCTAGAAGAACAGGGTTCTTCTCTTAGCATCTTTGCTGGTGTAGCTGTAGGTCTGTTTCCTGGTCAAACCTCATTCAGTATGACAAACTCAGGCCTTGCAGCCTGCAGTCTAAGAGATAGCCTGGAATATCAACCCCTCCAGTATGGTGGACTTCGAATTTCTCTGATCAAAGTACTAATACCAGATTGTATAGGAAAAAATAGAGAGAGAGAAAATATAGTTAATAAAATTGGTGAATGGACGCCAAATAAACAAATAGAGAATCTTTTGACTAGCTTTAATTTGGGTAATTGAAAATTTAGTTCCCTCCAATGAGGTAATTACATGATAATAAAGATGCAGTTCTGAAAACAAAAAATTTCTCATCTTGTACTTATGCAGTATTTTGTTGATAGGATTTTAATGGGGCGTAAGTGTAGGTATACCAACCAAGCAGCTGGTTGTGAAAATTTGCCACAGTAGTACGCTGGCATCTGGATAGAGATAATTTTTTTCAAAATTTTTTCATTCAGGATACATTGATTTGTCGAAAAGAAGAGTTTCTCCAGAGGAAGCAATCAAATGTGAAGATAAATTCACCAAATCCAAAACTGTAAGTTGATTTTTTAGTCAAATTAATTCACTATTTGATGTGCTTAGTAAGTAATCAGCAAGTCATTTTCCTGGCAAAAAAAAATAATCTACATTTTCTGTAACTACATTTTCACTTCCAGTTACATGTTACATACAAAAATGATTTAAACACTTAATATCAGAAGAGTATGACTATAGCTTTTTTATGTCATGGGGTTCCTATCTCAGAGTATTGCTTATGATCTAATATTCTCAGAACAATACTGGATGTTAGTGGTTTTAAGCTACTTTAGGAATAAATTAACAGTGGGTGATTTCAGTTGAGTTGGCTTGTCATAATAATGTGTAGTTGACTTTGTTCCCTATTCTGGGATAAGGATCACAGAGATAACCAATTGTTGTACGTTAGGAAAGAGCAATGTTTGTGAAATGTTTGCGAATCTAGGAAAACAAGGCAGAGAGGCCTGTTACTAGTTTTTGGTTTTTTCCCTAGTTAAGGTTATTATTTTTTTTAATGCTATAATTTTTTACTTCCCCACAGTAAGCATGAATAAAGCAAGAACAGCCATTTCTGCATTCATCTTATGTCTGGATTGTTCTGTTCCCTGGTCCTGTTTAGATTATCCTTCATTCCCTAGATCCTTGGTTCTTGATGGCACTGTTTCCATTGTTTCTCTCTTGTTTGCCCTTCTCTTGTGTCTTTTGTTCTCTTCTGCCACTTGTGTTTCTTCCCTAGAAATAAAGTGCCAAGAAAACGATGTTAAATGAAGAGATTTTAAAATCTTGTTCAACCCTAGTAAAACAGAATAAAAATCTAAAAACCATCAGACCATTACCCAGTCTTTCCCTTTGTTTTACTGATGTGTTTATTATTACTGCAGTCTGGTTTACATATTCAAAAGTGCTATCACTAAATTCCCTTTTTAATAAACTCTAGGACCTTGCCACTCAGAATATGGTCTGTGGACCAACAGCATTAGCATCACCTGATTGCTTATTAGAAATGCAGGATCTCAAGTCCCAACAAGTTTGAGAATCCACATTTGAGAAGCACTACTCTAGGAAACTTCCAAAATGATTATTAGTAGGTCTTACCAGGATAAGATGAAAGAATGAATAGCCAATGTTAATACCTTTCCTCACTCAATTTTCATATATAATTAACATGAAAAACTCCTTTCTATACTCTTTCTCTCCTTTAAGCCCTTGTATTTTTTGGAGATTAGAAAAAGTTTGGCAGTACTGGATAAGATTGAAGGATAACTGTTAAATGATAACAGTAAAAGAAATACTGAAATCTCAATCCTGGTTCCATGATCTCTCTCAAAAGAAGTGGTAGTAATAATACCTTATATTTATTTAACAGGATCTGTATAATATACAAATTTTATACATTTGTGTAAGACATTTATATAATGTTTTCCATTTATAGTGTGCATTTGTATATGTTTGATCTATATAAGAGCTCTGTGCAGTAAAAAGGAGAGATACTACCTCTCTTTTCCAAGTGAGGAAACAGAGAAGTTAATCTATCTCAGAGTCAAGACTTAACCTGGGTGTCAGGATGCTAAATTCTGTACTATTTCTACTTGTTATACCCAGTTGAGATTATGGGAAAGCAAATATTTCTCTGTGGAAAAGAATTTGTTGTATGGCGATCTTTCGTTGTTAAGCAATTGTTATAGTCAAATTAACTAAAGTTTTGTTTTTATATACTATCCAGTCAAGTGTAAAAATACCTATTTTTTTAATAGATCTCTTAACCTTTGAATTGTTGAGCCCTTCATTTTGTTTCTAGGTTTACAGCATTCTTCGTCATGTTGCTGAGGTGTTAGAGTACACCAAGGATGAGCAACTGGAAAGCCTGTTCCAGAGGACTGCTTGGGTCTTTGATGACAAGTATAAGAGACCTGGATATGGTGCCTATGATGCATTTAAGCATGCAGTCTCGTAAGAACATCTTTTTGGCTCTGCTTCTACTTTCATATCACAGCTGCTGGGTCTAGCATGCAGGTTGAGAGCCTGACATGTAATAGTACAAATTTAGATTAAAATATTTCAGTATAAAAGGCCCATCATATGGGCCAGTTTTGTATGGCCAACCCTATGTAATTTTTTTTAATTTTTAAATTTTTATTCTTTGATTTGAGAGGGACATCCATTTGTTGTTCCACTTATTTATGCATTCATTGGTTGCTTTTTATATGCACCCGGACCGGGGATCAAACCCGCAACCTTGGCATATCAGGACAACATTCTAACCAACTGAGCTACCCGGTCAGGGCTTATAATTTATATAGCTTCATAAACCGTATGGTTCCATCTCATACTTCTCCCTATCCATTTCCTTTTCCTAGTTTTTTTATTGTCCTGGGTGACTTCAGGGCCAGTGTAGATGTCTCATCTAAAACTGTAACCTCTTGTTTTCTTTTTCTCACAATTCCTTAAACCTTCATCCCATGACACTTTAGCCAGCCTTCCATATGGCTTCCCTAGATCTACTATCACCAGAATTTGCTCTGCCTCCAAAACCTTTAATTCACACATTCTCTTTTTTTACCACATCCCCCTGTCCCTCCAGCTCCTGCATAGTTAGTCCTACTCTGTGTCTTCTTAGTTCTTATGTCAGGCTCTGATTCCAAACCTTTTTTTTTCTCCCTATCTTTTCACCCCTTTCTGCCTTCTCTTTCTTATTCAGAGTAGCTCCACCGTGGTCCATCATTTCAACAACTTTCTTGCCAATATCATGAGCTTTTGCCCTGTTACATCTAGCCTTGGATCGATATTCCTGCCTTCTCTGCACTTGTAGATTGCTGAGTGCTGCTAGGAAAAAAACCACAGTCTTGCATGTTGGTGCCCCTGCATATTCGTGGTCTCAGCCCCAGCTGGGCCTTCACTGCTGCCCTACATTCTCTCTGCTCTTGGTCAGTTCATCTTCCCATTCTTAGAGTGGCTATTTTAGAGCTTTCTGGGATGCTCACTCTTCCTCAGATACTCCACCCCTCTTCCCTCACTGTCACTTGGTGCATTCACTATCTATTTTATAAAGAAAATAGAAGCCATTATGCAGGCTCTGCTCTACTTCCTCCATCCACCTTATCTCCATCCACCTGTCATTGCCTCCTTCCTGTGCTCCCATCACACTGGAATTCGTATCCCTCCTGCTCTCAAACTAATTTTATCACCTGTGCCCAGCTACTGCTCAGGGACCTCTTTCCATCTGTTATTTCATCTCTCGGGTCTTCAATCTTTCCTTTAATTGGTTTTGCTCCAGAAGCATAAAAATATGTTATTTCTCCCATTTACACTAAAAAAAAAACTTCTCAACATTCTCTTCACTTTTTTTGAGCAAGCACTGTGTCCTCTCCTTTTAACAGCCAGACTCCAGTTCTCTCTACTTCTGTACCTCCCTAAACGTTAATGCTCCACAAGCAGCCTCACACTGCACCTAGGTTACTTTCCTAACCTTTGTGTTGCCAAGAGATAATGGTCCTCTCAGCCCTCAGAATGTCCAAGTGGGGCCTAGGGACTGTTAGAGCCTGTGGCAAGCGGGCTCATTTGGTTCTCCAAATCCCTTCCAGTTTACCCCTACATGTGACTTTTTTTTTCCCATCTCATGTTGTCCAAGAGGTGAAAATAGCAGTAATTATAATAGTTGATATTTATATAATTTTCACAACCTATGGTATAAGTTCTATTAATCCCTATCTTATAGATGAGGAAATTGAGGTAGAGAGTCAAAAGTTTGTCCAAGTTCACACAGCAAGTGGTAGAGCCAGGATTTAAACCCAGGCATTCTGGTTCCATCCGGAGTTTTATATTCCTGCCCTCCCTGACATCAGTCCTGCGCTCCTTAGTCAGTACATTTCTTTTCTTCTTTTTTTAAAATCTTCACCCGAGGATATTTTGCCATTGATTTTTCAGCCATTGATTTTTCAGAGAGAGTGGAAGGGAGGGAGGAGGGGAAGAGAGAGAGAAACATTGATGTGAGAGAGACACATCAACTGGTTGCCTCTCGCATGTGCCCCTACTGGGGCCAGGCATTGAGCCTGCAAACAAGGTACATGCCCTTCACCAGGAATCAAACCTGCGACCCTTCAGTCCATGGGCTGGCACTCTGAACAACTGAACCAAACCGGCCAGGCCAGTACATTTCTTAATTTGGCTTGCTGTCATCATCTGGCCTCAGCTTAACTCTTTTGTTTCCATCTCCAACACTCAGCTCCATTACCGCTCAGCCTTGGCATATATTATTCCCTTAACATTCTTCTCTTGCATCATCAGTCATGTAGTGACTGTTTAGATTTAAGTAATTCTTTGCCATATTTTTCTTTTAATTAAGAATTAAAATTTCTGAGATACTTGGAAATAATGTTTTACCCTTCCCAACCCATTTCACTCACTCATCAGTGATAACCACTATTCTGAAATTAGTGTGTATCATTACAGTTTCTATTTTTATGGTTTAAATAAATAAGTGTATTCCGAAAGGACATGTTTAAACTTTATCTCTCTATTCTATCACTCTTATCGTTGAATTTTTACTCGTAAGGCTGTTATTGAACAGGATGTCTCCAGATTGATAGATATATGCCTACTTCATGTTAATTTCTTGTTTGGGGTTTTCTTGTTTGTTTAAAACAAAATAAATTTATTTTCTTACATTTATGGAGGTCTGGATTCTGAATTGGGTCTTACTGGGTTAAAACCAAGGTATTGACAGAGCTGTGTTCCTTCTGGAGGTCCTAGGGGAAAATTCATTTCCACACTTTTTTCCAAAATATAAGTATATATATCCTGCTTTCATTATCACATCACCTCCATCTTATAGGGACCTTTATGATTACGTTGGGCCCACTCAGGTAATTCAGAATTATCTCCTTATCTCAAGATCCTTAACATAATCACATCTGCCAAGTCTCTTTTATGTAAGATAACATATCCATACATTCTTGGGATTAAGACGTGGACATCTTTGGGGGAATGTTAGTCTGTCTACCACAGCCATAACTGATTTCTTGTGTAGCCATTAGAGACATTCTTTCTTCTTTGTACCATGAAGGACTTTTTTTTTTTTACTTTTATTGTTGATACTATTACAGACATCCCCATTCCCTCCCCCCCCTTTGCCTACCTCCACCCAACTCCTGTCCCCCCCTTCCCTCTGGCCATCACCACAGTGTTGTCTGTGTCTGTGGGTTACAAACGTATGTTCTTTGGCTAATCCCTTCACTTTTTTTCATTTAGTGATCATTTTTGTGTAGTATTATTGTGAGAAAATGTTTTATCTGGTCCTTTGTTAAGAGATATTTAGGTAATCCAACCCCACACCTTCTCCCTCCCCCCTTTCTAACAATGCTGTGATGAATACTGATGTACTTGTCTCTGTGTGTACACATTTGGGAGTTCTAAGGTATATACCTAGGATAGGAATAGAATTGTTTGGTCATAGGATTAATTACATGCATCTTTAAATTTACTCATTTTGCCAAAATGCTCTTCAAATTGGTTCTCTATTTATATTCCCTCTAGCAATTGTCTGAGCATCCCTATTTCTCATCATCCTTACCAACATTTGGTGTATGTCTCAGATTTTTTTTTTCCTTTTGCCAAATTGATGGATGTACAATAATATCTTGTCTTGATTTGCATTCTGTTAGTTATTGGTGAACTTAACACCTTTTCATGTATTGACTGTTTTTTCTATGAAACATCTGTCTATCTCATTTGCCCATTTTTCTCTTGGTTTGTCTTCTTTTGCTTTGTAGACAGCATTAATTAAATGAAAGTTCCCTCAAATTATTTTGCCTTTCATTCCTTAGCCTATGCTTTTTAAGCTCATGCCATTTCTTTTTTAATATATCATACCTTTCTTAAAACAGTTCTACCTTTGCCTATTAAAATCCTATCATTCTTTTAGTCATTATTTTTTCATTTGTCATTTGTTTAGCAACCATGTCATTGACTAAGACCCTGGTCCCTGTCTTGTGGAACTTAGGAAGGTCAGGTAAAATTACACTTTATCTGTGAAGACCCTTGCTGACATGACCCAGTAGCTGGAAGTAATACCTTTCCTAATTCCTAGGAATGCAGTTTTACTTTTTAAATTTTTCCATGTTTTTGTTCTTTTCCAATTAGATTGTAAGTTCCTTGAAGCAGGGACTGCTAATTACACAGATGTGCTTAAGTATAGTGGGATGTCAGGTGTATTGGGAGACATTGTAAATTGCTTGCTTTAGCCTGATCTCTGAAATTTTTCTTTTAATAATGATCAGTTGGGTGTTTTCTATTTGTCACATACTGCTAAATGCTGCTTTATTTCATTTAATACCACAATCCATTAAGTTGCACTGTTTTTGTCCACATTTTACACATTTGGAAACTGAAGTATGGAAAGGCCCAAAGACGTATAGTTATCAAACAGCACTGAAGCCTATGCTCTTACACATTATTGTGTGGTATTGTGTTTGGTATTGCAATTATCAGTAAAGTAACCTTAACCTTTTGTTGGTTTTTTTTGTGTGTTTTTTTTAATCAGAGACCCATCTATTTTGGATAGTTTAGATTTGAATGAAGATGAACGGGAAGTACTCATTAATAATATTAATAGGCGTTTGACTCCACAGGCTGTCAAAATTCGAGCAGGTAAATGATTTTTTTTTTAATGATGTTAAAATATTTTACATCTATCAAAAAAAGCTGTTAATGAGCCTCACCAAAGAATATGTTATTATTACCCTAGCTGTTTTTCTCAGTGGTTAGAGTGTCGGCCCTCTAACTGAAGGGTCCCAGGTTCAATTCCAGCCAAGGGCATGTGCCTCGATTGCAGGCTCCATCCTCGGCCCTGGTCGGGGTGCATGCGGGAGGCAGTCAGTGTTTCTCTCTCTCCCTTCCACTCTCAAGTTAGCCCTTTTTTTAAGGGGGTTGCTATTTTATTAGTCTAACAGTACAATAATATCCTTCCAGGTCTCTGGGTTAACCACTGTTAATAGTTTGGAATATGTTCTTTCAGACATTTTTTCTATACTCATATGCTGTATAGGAATGTATGCTATTTACATTCGTATATAACTGTTTTTGTTTTTACAAAGATGAGATCATACTATGCAAAGTTTTCTCCAACTAGCTTTTCCTAGTTGGTGTATCATGGTTGCCCTTCCATGTAAAACAGGAATCTTTTTCATTCTTTTCAATGGCTAAGTAATAGTCTATAGACTGATGAACTTTAACTTAACCAGTCCCCTCTTGAAGAACATTTAGATTGTGCCAATTTTTATTATTACAGAAAAAAAAAAACACTATAAGTTAACACCGATATGTGTGTGTGTGTGTGTGTGTGTATACACACACATTTACCCATTTATGTAAGTGTTCTGTAAGGCAAATTCCTAAAAGTGGAATTGCTTTGTGTATGCAGTTTCTAAACTGTTATTGACAATTTGCAGTTATTGTTTCATTCAGTTTTTAAAACACTCCTCTCCATTTTACAAATAAGAAACAGAGAAGTTGGAATCGTGATTTTAACCCAGGCATATCCAGAATTCAAGGTGTTTGTTAAATGTGTCTGTCTTACAGTTTCATCATTCATGGGCTTAATGTGGATGAGAGAGATGATTTCAGATAGTTTCAGTTATGAAAGTTAATAGCTGGGGTTGGTTCCTACTTGAAAGGATGATGAAAACTTTTACAGGTGTTCGAATACTCATGTATCTGCCATATCTCTGATTTCTTTTAAGCCTGTAAATATTTTTTGCATTCTTTGGTATAAGCTTTTGAATTTTATAACTTTAGATATCGAAGTGGCTTGTTACGGTTATGAAGGCATCGATGCCGTGAAAGAAGCCCTGAGAGCAGGTTTGAATTGTTCCACGGAAACCATGCCCATCAAGGTGAGCAGTCAGTTTTCTCCCTGCAGGAGGCTTCAGATCGATGTTTCTCACTTTCCCTTCTCTCTCAAATCAATAAAAACATTTTATTTAAAAAAGGTTCTACCCATATGCTTATAGAATTTTGAAACGAGCAACATATTCTCTCATTCACACAGTTTTTAGGAGGTTTTCCTCTTAATCTTTCGTTAGCAATAGAATTAACTGAATGGTTGTTATTTAGAATCTCTTAGAATTTCTTTCAGTTTAGTTTAGAACCAAATCGAATTTTTGTTTGTTTTAGAGACAAATTATCCATTATGCTGATGATGTCTATAGTTAGTTTATCCACCAAAGACACCCAGAAATCATCATTCTTCATATTCAATCTTGCAGTAGATTTTATTAGATCACTGTACCAATTAGCTTTTGCGATATTATTAAACCTACCCCAAATTGCTGACTATAAAATTGGGGGTTAAATTTTGGGAGTTCAGATCTGTTAAGGAAGCAGGTTAGCAAAACAGTTCTCGAACATCCTAATAGTTGTGTGTTCTACAGGTATACTCACAATTGAATTTTTATCTTCTTCCTTAGATTAACCTCATAGCTCCTCCTCGGTATGTAATGACTACAACCACCCTGGAGAGGACAGAAGGCCTCTCTGTCCTCAACCAGGCTATGGCTGTTATAAAAGAAAAGATTGAGGAAAAGAGGGGTGTCTTCAATGTTCAAATGGAGGTGAGATCAAGAGTGGTTTTGCCTTATTCTTAAAGTTTTTAAGAAATTTAAAACATCTCTAAATGATTTGCATTCTAAAATCTTTAAAAATGAGATACATTTAGGATTATATCTCTGCTAAGCATAAAATAATTATTGACCCAGAGGGTCCCTTAAAAGGGCTTTTTATAAGTAAATTAGAACTATCATGGGATGTTTATTGAGAACTGTGGTCACTGGTGGTGGTAGGTGTCCTGTTGTCCCTCACCCCGCCCCACTGAGGAAAAAAATAGATGATGAAAATTATTATTGTCAGAATTTAATGTGAAATACTTAAATTTTGGTCTCAGAATTAGAAACAAGTATAGTTGCCTGTATTTCCCTCATCTCAACAAGAATAAAGCCTAAATTTCATATGTGTATATAGAAAAATATTTAATACATTATGTAAATACACATATATATGTAACTCCTTCTCTGGAAAGGAATAGTAAATAATTTATTTTGAACCTAGAAGATGCATTTTTATAGGATGTCTTTTGGGTTTGAAAGACATAGCTACAGATTATTTTCATATACTTTCAGTTTTTGCTTGTAAAAAAATAACATAGTAGTATTTCATTTTAATACACACATATTTCTTTTTTCTGTATTGTCTTATTCTTATAAATATCTTACATTATTGAACTAATGGAATTTATTAGTGATATGTCAACATTCAAAAGTGAATAGATATAGCAGAGTTGTTAAGAAAAGTGTTTAACAGTTAAGATACCAGGCAGTAATAGCATTGAAACTGAATTTTATGTACTATTTACTTCACTTTGAAATTATGCCTCTGCTTCCACAGCCCAAAGTGGTCACAGATACAGATGAAACTGAACTTGCAAGGCAGCTGGAGAGGCTTGAGAGAGAAAATGCAGAAGTGGATGGAGATGATGATGCAGAAGAAATGGAAGCCAAAGCTGAAGATTAACCCTGTGGGAAACAGAGTCCAGTTTAAGGAATACAAAACAGCCCTTCCTGGCTATAAACCCTAGACTTAAAAGTTTTCCAGTATTGAAAACTTCAAAGCTGAATATTTTTATTTCCAAGTATTTAAATGCTCTAACAGACCAAAACATGAAATGCCCTCCTAAAATGTCGGCTGTTTTCACACAGTAGCTCTAACACATTGAGCATTTTTTAAGGGAGTGGCCTTCACAGGAGACAAATCTTTAAGAACAGTCATAAAATTGAGTTTTCCATTTCTGATGTCACCAGATTGACACCTCTTTGTAGTTCAGTGCCTCCATGCAACTTACCAGGGGCACCCAAAGCAAATAGTCCCAACCTTTCTATATAAATGTATCAAGCAAACATTAAATAAATTTCTGGGATATTTAACTATAGGCTTCTTCCTTCTTGTCACCAGTTAAAAGCATTATGATTACTAAGACCCTAATTCTGTTCATTTTAGTCTAAATGTAGAAATATAAGGGCAGGTGTTCAAAGGATCTATACAACAGGTCCTTTCCAAAGGAGGACTTAGAGAAAATCATTTTAAGTTTAACCGCAGTGGAAGTTGACTCTTAGGGGGGAAAGCCTTAAAATGCAATTAAAGGATTATATGGTTGTGTGCCTTTTACCTGTTTGAGATTGATGAAATGTATGAAGGAGAATTTATCACATGGTCCTAGTTGGTGCGCTAAGCTGCTTGCCTGAGTTTGTAATTCAGAGTGGTAAAATTTTTTTTTTTTGAGATGCTGCTGCTTTTGTTATTTTGAGCATCATTGGCCAACTTTTGGGGAGTTCTTTTCTTTTAAAATACTAGGTGCCACCTAGAGAGCTTCAGTTTCCTTTATAACAAAATAGGGATCTGTTTGAACATAATTACAGTGGTTTTTCTACATTTCCATCAATTTTATCTTTAAGAACTAATTATTTTAAAGATAAACATAAAGGTAAATAAATTAATAGAAAACACATGGCTTGAAGTTACAGCTGTAATAATCAGGGTGTAGAAAGTCTTGAGTTTGGTCTTTGTAGATTTAATCTCTTAGTTAATTATATCTAGTACTTGATAAACTAGATAAATTAATAATATATCCAGTACTTGAGGTACTAGGTATATTAATCTTATTAGTTATTCCTAAGAATAGTAATTTAAATACTTAGAAGATTAAACCATACCTACTTTCATCAGTCCAAGACTAGACTCAATATTGAAGGGACTGGAAAATAGAAAAGTGTTGGTAAAACAGTTTGTGCCATATGTGAGGGCTGTTTTTAATTTACTCTTAGTAGCTTTTTAAATCCAGAAGCCTGATTTCATATAACCACTTCCACAAGGAGCCATGATTGCTGGCTAGCATGGCATACTGGGAATATTTAGGGGGGAATCTGGATATATTCAAAATTAGCACATAATTTTCACCTCCGTCTTTTTGAGGAGTCAAAAAATAAGCTCACAGCATCAAGATGTCATCTTTTTATAATGGGTGCTCAAATGTTTGCTATAGATGGGAATTTAATTGAATTTTTGTTTACTGAACATTTTTATACTTTAAAAGCCATAACTTGGTGGCATTTATAGTGAGTGGATTTATCCCCTGCAGGCCTTTTGCTCCATTCCACAACAGCTGCACATTCATGACCCTTGCCAGAGAAAAGATCAATACCTCAGTGATATGAAGAGAGAACTAACTAAACTTAAAGCATACGTATACCTTTCTGACCTAAAAGTATCACCCCCAAATATGAGGACAAGATACACACCAGCTCCAAATAACTTGAACAGATTGACAAAGACAAGTGACCAGTTTATCCAAATCTTGGATCTCCCGAAAACCTCTTTAAGATCTGACAAGTTCACCTACTTCCCATTCTGTCTTTGACTGAGGTTAAGTGGTTATCAACTCAAAACTGAAAATTGACAATAATTGGGGTCTTATGAATAATTAAGTGAAAATGGCTGACAAAAAATATGAACAAACCATTTTTGATGTTTTATAGCAAAACAAGACAAACTAGTACTTTGGATATTGCTCAAACAGTGGAAGCCTACAGAGACATGCTAAGCACTGCAGAGTGCTTAGCAGTACAGTTATTACTCAGCTGCCATACTTTCAAACATTGATACATAAAAAACAATTGAATGTAAATTGTTCGGGATTTTTAAAAATTCAAATGCTAGTACCCTGATGAGAGTTGTTCCCTGATTTGCCTCAAGGTGATGGTCATCCACTTTCAGTGCATGAGGATTCTGTGTCCTATACAGTGTGGTGCAGCTGTGCCAATTTAGAGAGTCAAGAAGCCATCAAACCAAATGCAGTTGAATTCAGATAAACACCTGTTGATATTCCAAAAGCAATAAAGGAAATTCCAGCGACATTAGACCTTGGTAAAATGCCAAATGGAAAATGGTGCTTTAAAAGGTAGTTTTTTTATAATGTAAGGAATGAAGTAAAACCTCATTTGCTTGGAATTCCTGATCATTCAGGTCAGGTATTCTAGATCAGATTAAGAGAAGACAGTTCAAACTACTTAAAAGGACAAATTTTTACTTTGGAAGTTATCTAGTCCCCTTAAATGTCAGTTACATATCTTAACCTATTCATTAAAGGAAGTCTAAGCACTTGTACTAAGCAAGAATGCTGGCAGTAGCTTGTGCCAGATTACTGTATGAACTTGAAAGCAATAAAAATGTTTTTTAAAATATTGTATGACACAGACTTTTCACTGCAGATTAGCCTCCCAACTGGTGGAGCTTGTTGGTACCTATTTGTCTCAATGTTCACTTTAAAACCAAAATTTCATGCCTTGATTTAACTCTCTTCCTGTTTCTATCTTTCTCTGTCCTTTAGAGAGCTCCTGCTCTGCAGCTTTCTAAATTCTATTTTCCATGGTAATGCTATATTTTATTTCTTTGGTATGTGACTAATCTCTTCAACTGAGTCCATTATTTTTCTGTGATGTATAATACTTATGCAAGCTTATTTTTCAAAGGAAAACTATTTGTTCAAAATTTTGCCACCATCCCTCTTTTAAGATGAAGCATGTCTTAGTCACAGAGGTCACTTGAGATGTCTTCATACTCACCTTGCTAAATTCATGTAGCCTCGAGCATGAAAAACCTGAAAACTGAAACTTTGTAAGGGAATTCTAATAGCCAGAAACAAATGTCAATTTTTATTAATTCCAAAGAAGGAGTTAAGAGTTGTTGACGGCATTTCAGAGAGAGCTGCCATGAGGCTAGGGTTTTATTTAGTATTAAAACATGGCCAGTTAGTGTTATAAGGAAACCTACTTTCTTGCCCGAAGAAAGGGTGGCTGGCTATGATGACTGGCGCAAGTCAACATGCTGACACCTAATAGCTGTTCTAGCATTTCCAGGTTGTTAACGTGAAGGTGGGGAAGGAAATAGCACCATTGCCAAATGTAATCTAGGAAACTCTTCAGACTCACTCCAAAACAGTACAAAATAGTTACATTAACACTCATTTTCCAGGAAATCCGTCTGTATCATCTGGTAGGTGGGAGGAATCCTGGTCCTGTTCCCTCGGGTCCTTGTCACGTTAGCTTTTTGATAGCTTCAATCCACTCTGCTCGCTCAGCCTTGCTGCTGGCCTGGATGTAATAGTGTGTGTCATCCTTAGTAATCACTTTGAAGAGATTTCCCTGGACATTCCCTTTAACGCCTAGGCAGGAAAAAAGTCAGTGAATACTCATGTCTGCTTTCAGCTGGAAGCGGAAATGGATACGGTTAGGGAATCCCACCAGATGCGAGCTTTCTTTTCCTCCCTCCCATTCCCTCTCGCCTGTGCCTTCAGGCCTGCCAGTGGTATGTCTGGAATTTCTTGGAAGCCCTCCTGGCCTGCCCCCTATGCTAACCATAGAACTACAGATTCATTGACATCAGAGAATCTAGTATGTTTATATAAAGAGCAGGCACAGATTTGGGATTTGACTTTAAATTGTTTAACTTCTTTGAACCTTAATTTCCACATCCATAAAATGGGAATGATACTATCTTCCTACCCTAGCTGACTATTGTGAAATTAGTGTGACAATAGATATTAAAGCGTGTTGCTAACCCTTAAACACTGTATAAGCTAATATTATTCTTAGGTGGAAGTTTATGGACCAGTAAACAGAAATTGAGGGGAAATAATATTAAAGACAAGGATTATATAGTTGCATTCTTAAAACTAAGAACACATGCCCTTTTCTCTAATTCTGAAACTGTCTTCAAAACTCACACCATTCATCGTCTCATTGAGAAAGCCCTACTCGGCCCCCACAGCTCAATCCTTGGTCAGCAGAGCATTACTGAGAGTGCAGGAGAGAGGCCCCTGAGATCATCAGGCCGGGGCCGAAGCTGCGCCTTACCAGCGGGAACACCATTATCCTCCAGAGCAGACACGAGTGAACCACGAAGAGAAAACCCACCCACTGGCCGGTTCTCTTCCTGCAAAGGGAAGGAGACCTGATCAGGAAATGGTATGAACGGACAAGAGGGAAGAGCTGCACTCTCACCCATAAGTCATGCCAGCCAAAGGAGTCAGTAACAGAAGATGAGGCTGAACTTTGACATCACTCGGCCGCGGTACAGGCACCAGTGAGTAAGTTTGGGCTCTTTGTTTCACACCGCCTGCAGCAGTGCCACACCCCTCCCTGGCCCTCAGCTCTCTCGCTGGGGTCTGGCAGGGTCCCAGGGACTCCTTCATGCCCAGGATGGGGGTTCCTGACTGAAGCTCAGTGAGGGAGGAACTGCCCAGTCTTCAATCTTTCAAAAAATGGATGAAAATCATACATCTACCAAAGACAAGGTTGAACAGGCCAACTGAAGACCATTTTCCTTTTCTTTTGACTGGAATTAGATCAACTCAGCTCACAGTAATACTATCTGAAACTCAGAATAGCAATTCTTTGATCAGGAAGAAAAAATTAGCAAATTATGGCTTAAATATTAGTGTATAGTAAAAGAACATTTTCAAAACATTGGTGGGGACAAGAGGTTGAGGGGGCAGAATTCATGGGATAGAAAGGGGCAAAGACCCTAGGAAGCACCCGGTTGGGGTCCATCAGCCCACCTCACCCTCTGTTCACAGAGCAAGCTTTAGAGAGACTAAAAGATGCTTTTCCTCGCAAAATAATGAAGATGCACTGAGCAGGCAAGGACATGATGAAAGAAAAGAGCGATCATACTTTTATAAGAGCAGCTTGGATTGTGGAAGGAAAGGCAGAGTGTGGCAGAAGCTATGGTAAGGATGCTGAGAGGAAGGACGTGGAGCCAGCTGCCTGCTATGCTTGGGAGAGAAATATCTGGAAGCCTCACACGGGTACCAGGTGAGCACGCGGTACTCACTTTGGAAGGGTCGTAGTAATGCAGGAAAGCCGGTTCCTTCCTCAGAACAAAGCGCCGCACCTTCCAGTTTTTCCTCTTGTGGCCCTGAGGTAACGAAAGGGTTAAGGCTCATTGGTGACAGCTAAGCCACTTCCTCCCACTTCCTTCTATCGAATGCCAAACCTCCAAGCCAGCTGGCTCCAATGGGACTGCTTTTTAAGGAGAGCCTGCCAGAGCCCCAAGGATGGCAGCAATGTGTCATGGACTCCCCTGCTCAGTGACACTCAGCAAAAACACTGTCACCTTTAGTTGAATTGACAAAGCCAAAGAGGGTCAGCGCCGAAGGAAAGGGGGAGCATTACCCAGACACCACTCAGGGCACAAGGAGGACAGGGGGGCAGCAGGTGTCAACCGGACTGAGAGGTCACAGCAAACTTGAACACAAGGGCACCAACTTAAGTGTCAGCTTCGTCCCAAAACAAACCTACAGCTGCCTGCACACGTATGCACACACACACAGTAAAAACCACAACATTCTGCATCAGAAAAAGTAAGAAATGATCAATTATGTTTAAGATAATCGATGAGAGTATGGCTCTCTGGTGTCACCCCCTAAATCACAAAGCTTCCTTAGCCGCCCCTCCTGGGACACCGGGTCCCTCCCACACCCTCCTTGTGGTCTCCCAGGGTCTCACTACCTGCCCTCACTAGCCTCCCACTGGGCAGTTTCATGGATGTAAACAGTCTGAGAGCAGATGGGAATCCTGATGTGCAAGAAACAGGTGACAACAGGTGCTCTGAGTAACAGCAGGAGTGGCGCTGAGCAGCACACGTGTCCACGGTCCAGACACGCACGTTCACGTGGTGTGTGAGATGCGAACAAACGGGGGGGACGTGCAGAGGTCCACCAACACCTCCTACACCCGAATGCGGTCATTTTGTTTGCGAGCAGCCTTCTTGTCAGACACAGGTAGAAGCGCCGCAGGTGTGACTGCACCATGGCTGTCTCCCGCTAAACGGGCTGCTGTCCCAAAGTCAGCAGTAGCGGCCATGGTCAGAGTTTCAACACTGAGATTACCCTGTAAAATTTCATCTTCAACCTACTGAGGTGGGTTGTTCAGAAGGTGTATGAAGGGAGCGTGCAGAGTCCCACCAAAGGCGGCAGAGACCCTAGAAAGCCTCAGAGAGCGGAAGGCAGCGAATGCAAAACACCAACCCAGGAGCAATGCCCCTCCGGGCAAACAGGAACGGGGCAGTGGCGCAGACCTTCTTGAATGTTGTGATCACTACTTGTGTGCACCTTTTCCCCGACCACCCCTGTCTAGGGCTCGTGGAGGGGGAACCTGCATCCCCTTGACTTGCTTGCTGTGGCTGCTGCCGGGCTTCTGCTTTAGCTGATCCAGCTGATAATTAGTGCCTCTAGCAGTCTCAGGGCTTCCCATCCTTCGGGGAAATTCCTGCCTCCCCTGAGTTCGAGAACTATCCATCTCCTCCCTGCTCCAAGGCAGCCATACCTGCTTGGCCAGATAGCCTTGCTTTATCACGGTGCCACTTAACTCCATAGTGCTCAGATTAATGTCCTCCTTGAGACTTAATTTCTTCTTGTAGCTCTCAGCCTCGTGGGAAGAAGAGAACAAGGATTCTGTCACAAAAAGTCCCAGTTACAGGCTGTGGGGACTACCACAGGAAGAAGGAAAATCCTCCGTAGAGAAGCCCACTCCACCTGGGGGTGAAGCTGTCCCCTAAACCCGAGGCCTCCACCCGTGACTGTGGACCCCCCTGGCCTCCACTCTGTGGTCTCTTCCTTCCCTCTGCCCCTCTTCCTTCCCTCTTCCCTCTATCCATAACTTACAAAAGTGTACAGGGCCGTGGAGTCATCCAGGAACTGCTCAGCCAGATCCCCGGAGCGAACAGCTTCCGTGCTCCGGGCGCCCACTGGCTTAAGGAAGTTCTCCTCCATGAGCATGGAGGCCAGGGTCACGGCCTCCAGACGGTTGGCGGCAAAGCTGTTGGAGATGAGCCAGTCCACCAGGGAGGAGCCTGCATCGGGGCAAGAGCAGTGCCGGTCAGGCGACAGGCTACAGGCCAGCCTCCCCGGGGGTGCCTGGCTGTGACCTCACTGATTTTGACCTCCTGGCAGCCTTGGGGCACTACACAAGAGCAGACCAAAGGCCACACCTGCTACGTGGAGCTGTGGCCACACCCACGCGTGCATGTCAAGCCAGCCCGTTGGCCAGCGGGCAGCCCTGGCCTCCGCACAAGCTGCCGAGCACCTGGGGCTGGCCTCGCAGGTCACCACGCCCCAGGTTTCCGCTTCCCTCCAAGAGGGAAGGCTCACCGATGAAGGTCTTTTTGTAGGTGCTTCCCTGCTCCACGTTGGGGCTCGGCCGGATTCCACTGCCACTGTCATGCATCTTGTCCACGATGCGACTGCATGGGAGGAAGGCAAAGGAGAGGGGCCTCTCATTGCACTGACAGGTGTGAGAAAGGGTCCCAGGGTCTCTGCTAAGGGTATTAAGCAAGTGGCAGACAGTGCGATACACACCACAAAGAGAGCGGTCAGAATTTGAGACAGGATTTTAGATCATTTCTTTTTTTTCTTGCTCATCTAAATATTCTCCCATTTCTATCCTAGACAGGTATTGCTTTTGTAGTAAAACTAAAGAGCTGTGACCCCTGCTGCTCGGGGGTTAGGGGCATTTCCTGCAAATGGGCTGCTGTTGCAGTTTCCATGATGGGAACTCCTTTCATTCACCCCTGCTCTATGCTCTCACCTGCACCACTGACCTGCTTTCCTTCTGTTCTGTGAGACGATTCCTGCCACCAGTGGAAGCTCTTTTCTTATTTTCTAGTTACGTACTTGGGCTGGAAAGCCCTTGGAATGGGACTTGGTTTATCCCCACTCGCATCTCCTGAGAGTATGGTGCGGTGCGCAGCAGGCACTTGAGGGCTATTTCTTGAGTGAATGAATGAATGAAGGAGGAGCACCTCAGGGCAAGGATGCAGCTGCTCCAAGAACACATCATTCTTGCCACCGGGCTGCGAACAAGCCCATGACTGGCGAGTGGAGGTTCCTGGGAGCTGTGACAAAGCCCTGAGCACCCTGGCTGAAACCAGAGGGAGGCTTCTAAGATGCTGCGATGGGCTGAAGCAGCAGAGGCCCCAAGGGGTTACATAGGAGCAGGGTGGGTAGGCAGGGCCATTCCCAGGCAGAGAAACTAATACAAACGGGACAGTGTCAGCGAAAGGCCCTGAAGCACGACGGTGACAGCAGTCAGGCCTGTGTAGCAACAACAGAGTCCCCTCCCCACTGCACACAGACAGGAGAGGCTGCAGCAGAGCCGGGCAGAGCGAGGGGCCGGGCCGGGCACTCACTGCAGGCTGATGTGAGGGGGCAGCTTGAAGGAGTTCCTCTGTACATGGAGTTGCTGGACCTTCCCAGGCTGCCCAGCGTGAATAGCCCCTGTGATCTCAAAGGCCCAGGCGTCCCTGTCCTCTCGAGAACAGGCCTCCAGGAAGTATTCTGTGGACGTTCGGGTCTTCAGCTTAATGAGGAGCTGCGGGAGGAGAGAGCCAGCCAGACCAGCACTCAGAGGTGAGGTACCCTCTTTATGGACCGAGCAATCTTATTAGGAACTGAGCTTCGTTCCTCATTTTAGTCTTCCTAAGAGAGCTTCATTCTCTCACTCAAAACCTTCAGTGGCTCCCCAGTACCTCCATCGGGCACCAGCCATTCTCCCACTGTTCCCTCAGTGAACATTTTCCTTTCTTTGGCCACAGTGGCCTTCCTCATGTCCAGATCTATCCCTCTGTCTCCCCTTCCTTCTACTCAAGACCTTCCATCTGCCTGGAGCATCTGCCTCTCCTCTTCCAGATCTTTGCCCAAGTCTCCATTCTTCGCAGAGCTGTACCTGACCCAGCCCTCTTCCTCCTCTTCAGATACAGTCCCCTCTATGGCTAATGATGTTTGAACCAACATTCGAAACTCCGAATGTTTTTCAGTTAACCACTTGCTTTCATATTAACATTATTAACTGAAGAAGCGATCTTACTATTTTCTTCCTCGGCTCCTCCAAGCCCAGCCAATTTCTTGGCACATACTGGGCCTTCAATAAATGATTGAGTCAGATACTTTTTTGATGGTAGGGTGGGAGCTGTCCCTGACTTTTGGAACATGCTCCCCTTGGGGATGAAGGCCATCATATTGCTTTAATTACTCACATTTGCGTAGTGCCTCTTGCCTACAGGATCCCCATCACATTCGTGGGAGATAGTCAGGTGTCATTTTTTATCCCATTTTATAGATGAGGGGGTAAGACTCAGAGAGGTTCATTACTTGCCCAAGGTCACATGCCCAGTACGTGGTTCAGCCAGGATTTGAAGAAGGTTTTTCAATGATAACTCAGCTCTTCCCATTACCCACACCGCTTTCACCAGAGGCCAGCGGTGGGAGGGGCCGGGGCAGGGAGGAGCTGGGACGCCAGGGCCTTCACTTACGGGTCGGTTTTCATACTCCAGGCAGGGGCAGGTGATGGTGCAGCCATCCAGAAGGATCTGGCCCTTGGGAGGGGTCACCTTCTGACCCCCCTCGAGCTTGTAGTACAGCAGCGTGTTCTGCCGAAGGACAAACCATCGCACCTTCCAGTTGTGGACAACATGACCCTGAGGACAGACAGCAGAGCCCTGCGGTGAGGTGGCTGAGGGCACAGCACTGTCAGGGAGAGGTGTCCCGTGGTACAGGCAGCCAGTCTGTGCCACAGGGCTGACTCTCCAATAAGGGGGATGGCATTATCTTTTTTTAGCTTAGTATACATTTTTTTTATTTTGAAATAATTTCACTTCAGAGAAAAGATGATTAACTTTTTTACAGAACCATCCAAGAGTACATGTTTAACACGATGCTCCATCACTTCTGAATATTTTATTGTGTATCTCCCACACAAAATAAATGTTTCCAAAATAATCATAATACAGCCATCAACATCAGGAAATGTACATTTATGTTTTCACTTATTCCACAAACCCAGTACAAGTTTCACCAATTGCCCCGATAATGTCTTTAATGGCCAAAGGATCCAGTACAGAATCATACGTTTTATTTTCATTCTCATGAAGAAAGCATTATCTTTGTCTGGATATCTTTGTCATCTCCTTTGAATATGTAACATTTGGCATTGGCCTTCTCATTCCCATTTGGCCTTTTTTCTGGTTATAAACCTTGAAAGACACTGCAAAGTATACAGAAGAGAAACTCCTATTACGAGGAGACAGCCATTGCTGTGTTGATGGCTGTATTTCCTTCCAGTCTTTTTTTCTTTTAATATTTACTTTCTAATGCTGTGGGTTTGTTTTTTTTTAAATCAGAACCATATTACATATACTTCTATTTTCTAGTTTTTGCTTTGTTGAGCTTTGCTGAGCATTGTCTCACACCATTAATCTCTTTAACACATATTTTTAAGTGACCACTAGGTGGATGCATCACTTACTTGTCAATCTCCTGTGTTTGTAGCTGAATTGTTTCATCTTTTTCACTATTATAAACAATTCTGCAATGAATATCCTTGCACATTAATTTTGATCCTCATTTCTGATTTTTTTCCTTAGGATATATTCCTAGAAAAACTATAACTAGTCAAAGGATGCAGGAAATTTGTAAAGTTGAAGCCACACACGGCCTACCAGCGCTAAGGACGCCAACAGTCTTACCTAGCCTGGTGCAGCAGGCCTGAAAGGCAGGGTAGTTTGGGGGGCTCTCAGGGAGACAATAAAGCCAATGGATAAGATAGTCAAAAGAAGGCAGAGAGCCTGTTTCTAGAACAGACGAAAGGATGGGGGACTGTCTGCTGAGGCCCAGAAAAGAATGGATTTAGAACACACTCATGAAAGCATGTGAACACACAGCAAGCAGGTGGCCACACAAAAGCAGAGAAGAGAGGCCTCAGAGGAAACCAATGCTGCTGATACCTTGATCATGGACTGCAGCTTCCAGAACTGTGAGAAAGTAAATCTCTCTTGTCTAAGCCGTCCTGTCTGGGGTATTTTGTTATGGCAGACCTAGCAAATGAAATCACAGGAAAAGGAGAAAGGAGGCTGGGGTGTTATGGAGAAAAGTGTAACCAACAGCTGTTGAGCAGAACAAGCCAATAAGGAGATACTGCACTTTCCTGGACAACTCGCTACATTTCCCAGAATCCCTGGCACAAAGGGAGCAGGTAGGTGACCAAGTTGCTGCCAGTCACATGCATGGAGCAATGAGGCCTGTTTGGCAGCAACCAAACATGGGAAACAGGAATTTGTGACAAGGACGTGGTGGGAGAACAGGTTCAGTTCTGACACCAGCCCCAGGGTCATCAGGCCCAAGTGGCCCAGTGCCAGCAGTGGTTTCCACTAGAAATGTCTGGTGGCGCTGTTGGGCATTTTTGTCTTGGCTGCAGCGTCCCCGGCTATAGCATCCCAGGCAGGTTCTCTGGCCCTCCCAAATATTCCTGAGTTCCTTAATATTTGTTACTCTCCGTGAAACCCCTACTGCTCAAACTTGCTAGTGGCATGTGCTATAAGCAGCTAAGAGTCCTGACTGCTGGCAAAGGAGAGAGGGCTGAGGAGAAGGGCTGAGGAGAAGGGATTCACTACGCAGACAGAAAACTCAAGCAGCTGGTGTTCCCCATAGAACTGTTCAAATTCCTTGACCCAGTAATTCCACTTACAGGGATCTGTGCTAAGTAAATAATCTAGAATATGGAAAAGGTTTTGTGTATTGAGACACTTAGAGGATCATGACTTATACCAGTAGAGAAGAAAAAAAAAAGGCAAAATATTCTGATGTGTAACAATACTGTGTGGCTGCAGTGGAGGGATTCCGGTCCTGACAGATGGCAGGAGAGTGGAGAAGTGAGAAACTGAGGCCTCCGGCACTACCCATGTGAATGAGCTTGGAAATGGGCCCTCCAGCCAGTCAAGCCTTCAGGCGACTGGGCAACATCTTGGCTACAACCTCATGAGAGTCTCTGAGCCAGAATCTTGCAGCTGAGCTGCTCCTGGCTACCTGACCTTAGAAACTGTGTGAGATAATAAATGTTTGTTGTCTTAAGATGTTAACTTTTGAGGTAATTGTTACGCATGGATAGATAACTAATGTAAAGCGTGATGCAAACCCAAGAAGGGGCTCAGGTGGGAGACAGAGCTCATTCCGAGGCAGTGGAGGAGGGCGCGGTGGGGTGAGGCGGGCTCCCTGAGGAGCTGGTACTGGGGCTGAGCGGTGAAGGTTGTGTGGAGTTGGCTAGGTGAGGAAGGCACGGAAGGGAGAGCAGAAAACTGCTTCGACTTCTGGAAAACTCCAAATAGTTCTATATGGGTGGGGCTCAGAGGCTGGGAGGAAGGGATGGGGGAAGAGAGAGGGGCCCAGCGGCCTTAGGTCCTGTGTTGTAGAGTTTGATCTTGTAGCCAGAGGATGACAAGCGTAAGTTCTGTTAAAAAGATGGCCCAGACCACACTGTGACAGCTCAGGAGTGAAGCAGCGGCCCTGGAGCGGGCAGCTCAGCTGGAGGCTGCTGCAGTGACCCACAAAACGGGAAGACAGCAGCCTTATCCCCGCTCTCCAGATAAGCCACGCCGTGCTCAGAGGGCGTAAGGGACGGGTCTAAAGTCACCAGACAAAGCAGGTCAGAGGCCAAAAACACAGTGGTGTAAGCTGACCAAGGTCCTCCACCAAGGCAGTTTCCTCCATCCCCAGGCTCGTCTGTAAGTGGCTCGCTGGAGCCAGAAGCCAGCTGAACCATGAGTGGCTTAGAGTCCCTAAAGCTTCTTCAGGGGGGAGGAGGAGAGTCCATAAGCTGGGATGGCAACCCTAGGCTGGGCTTAAGAGGCACAGAATGTTACAGCTGGAGGGACCCTTTGAAAAAGCCTATACTACTCCCTAACTGTAATGATGAGGAAACTGAGGCTCAGAAAGGTCTTGCCCAAGACCCTACACCCCAAAGAAGCAGGTATTGTACTTGCTATAGGCTGAATTATGTCCCCACAAGAGGGATTGAAGTCTGCTACCTGGTACCTCTGAAGGGGATCTCATCTGGCAATAGGGTCTTTGCAGATACAGTCTGGTTAAGACAAAGTCATACTGGATTAGGGTGACCTAGTGACCCTAATATGCTTGGTGTCCTTACACAGAGAGGAAAACCTGCACACTGAGAGACACACAGGGAGAAGATGGTCATGTGACAAGGGAGGCAGCGATTGGAGAGATGCATCTACAAGCCCAGGAACACCAAAGATTGTCTGTGTGAGATCATAGAAAACACATATATTGGTCTCTGACCCTGGTTTGTGGCAAAACTCCTGGAGACCTTGTAATTTCCCAGGTGACATCAGTGTCTTTTGCTCTAATGAGGCAACTCTGGGTGGGCTCCTGGATGGCTCCTAGATAGGGGCTGATCACTGCAAAGACCAAGCCTTGATTAGAAGCTTAGAATTTTCAACCCTGCACCCCCATTCTCTTGAAAAAGGGGAGGGGCTGAAAAAAGAGTTAATGATCAATTGTGCCGATGTGATGAAGCCTCCATAAAATCCCAAAGTACAGGGTTTGGAGAGCTCCTGGGTTGGTGACCACTGGGAGAGTGGTGTGCTCAGAGATGGCATAGACGTGCCACGCCCCTTCCCACATACCCTGCCCTGTGCATATCTTCCATCTGGCTGCCTACCTGTATCCTTTACATATCCTTTAATAAACTGGTAAACCTAAGGAAGTGTTTCCCTGAGTTCTGTGAGCCACTCTAGCAAATTAATCAAACCCAAGGAGGGGGCACTGGAACCTCCCAGCTATAGCTGTTTGGTCAGAAGCACAGGTGGTAACCCAGGCTTGTGACTAGCAGCTGAAGTGTGTGTGTGTGTTGGGGTAGGGCAGTCTTGTGGGACCTGTGGAATCTGACACTATTCTTGGTAGACAGTGTCAGAATTGAGTTAAATTGTAGGACACCGAGCTGGTGTCACAGAGAATTGCTTGGTGGGGGAAAACCCACACACCCAGAAGTGTCAGAAGTGGAGTATTCTGCATAAAAGTAAACTCACAGGATAAACACACACACACAGTAGGGAGGAACTACATAGGAAGGAAAAAAATCTGGGTTTTTCCTTTACAGCCCGCAAATACCAGAAGCAAAGGAGGCAAGGAGGAATTCTCCCCTACAGGATCCAGGAGGAACTGGCCCTGCCAACGCCTCGGTTCTCAGACTTCTAGCCTCCAGAACTCCTTCTAAATTTTTCTTTTCTATGCACATTTTCCATTACTTACACCTTTTATACTTTTCCTCTTTAAGTTATAATATTACAGACATTTTAAACATCTGCATAACTATAATTTACTTAATTATTTGTCTACTTGGGGGGATATGTAGGTAGTTTCCAATTTTTCACCCCATAAATAACACTTTGTTCATAAACCTTTTATGGTGTTTCCTTTGGATAGAGGCCCATTAATGAAATTTCTAGGCCGGGGCATGTTAACCTTGCCATGTCATTTTTTAAGAGTGCTGTTCAAGGGATGAACAGGGCAGCGATGCTTGAAGTGCTTCTGCCTCTCCTGAAAGGAAAAGTCCCACCCACGCTGATCCGGTTTCCCCGCCCGGCCCCCTCCTTTAAAGTCAGGCCTAGGGAGCAGCCTGCGCTTTGCCTGGAGCTCTGCTTTTTTCTTGTCTGGGCAGGAGTAGGAACCAAATCCTTCATGCTCCTGCCTGCTCCTGCTTCACCCTCACCTGTGGTGACTGTTCTGTGGGCTGGGCTTCCAGCTACGGCCCTGCCCCACCTCTGAACTGCAAACCCTCCTAAATCTATGGAATACCACAAGCCACCCGCAACTTCTCTGGTGGACACGGGAGCTACCAGGAAAGGGGAAGTGGGGGAGAGAAAAAGTTGAGACTGATCAGTAGACTACGTCCCTCACACTGCAAGAATGGGGTGTCTTCTGCTTGCCTCAGTGTCAGGCTCCAAAGCCCTGTCTTTGGGTTTGGCTGGAATAAGCTTTATGTATTTCAGCCAAGCCCCTATTGTGGGCTTTTGGGGTCAGACCTGATGACTGTCCTCACTTCTCTGTCCCCTGAACTCCGTAAGCTGGACATGCAGAACTGGCAGCCTGTCCAGAAGAGAACTCACATCCTTCCTTCCCTCTCATCATCTCCTGACTCTGCTTGGTGGCTGTGGTGGAAAATCATGTAAGTTAACCCCTGGGAACAGGGAGGCCCGCAAGGGCCCATCTGAGGGGGTCTGTCCTCCACAGGCCCCTAACCAGGACCCGACTATCCCGACAATCAACAATGCCCACCAAAACCCCCTGCCCAACTCAACACCTTCCTTCAAACTTCAGAAGCTGAGAGGAAAGTGGGAGCCCACAGAAGTTCCCCTGCAGGCTGTCTCTCGGAGGTGCACTTGCCTCCACAAGCCATAAGGGACCAGCCTATGACTTCAATCACAGTGGCATGACGCAGGTGTGGAATTTTGTACTTATATCCACTTTGACCCTTGATCCGGCATCAGCCTCCTAGCACTGCTCTGTTTAGTTTTGAGCAAACAACGCACCCACTCGCCTATATCAAACAAGGTATAACATAACTTGACTACATTACCTCCGGACCTGAAAGCAACTTGAGACTTCAGGGCTGATCTGGCTGCCAGAGGAGGCAATGGAAGGGAGAGCACAGCCATCCCTCTCTATCCAGCCCCCTCCCAAAGCCGTAAACTCAACAGAAGGGCCAAAGGGCTCACCCTCAGGTTTTATGCTCGGCTACTATGTCAGCATAAACGCTGAGCTTGAACATCAATGTTAAAAGAACGTTAAAATACTGACTTCCTCTTGTACCTGCTCTCTGGTTCATTTTCTACCTTGATCCTGTGTGTCCCATTTTTGTCTGGACTCCTGCTTGCTGTGGGAAAGACCACATGGGGTGATGGGGAAGCCTTGAGGATGGAGGTTCCAGTCTTATCTCTTA